ACTGCACTTACTCTGGATATGTCCTATTTGTCTTGTGATCTACAGGTGCAATCTATTATTATAATTTTTAATCGAACCATTTAAACAATATTGTTATTTGGCATTAATCCTGTTATGGCTTAACATGTGCCTTCATACATACGCTGCTATTGGTATCTGTTTTCTTCTACACTGTTTACTTCAGATACTTGTGAATATAAAACATAGAGAGAAATGTAGTACCAATTGTTAGACAGTGGAATGGTGCTTTTATTCTAAATGAGTTTACATGTAACCTTATTTCTTATTCTTCCGCTTCAGATGCCTTAAAATATTTTACGTAAAAATATAATGGAAATAAAATGCACGTCTGTAAGACATTTAATACAGGCATGGGCATATTTACGGATGTGGCTATGAAAATAAACGTGTATATATGGGCATAATATACAAATACATGCTAGCAAGACAGGGGGAAGAAAAATCAACTGAATAAATTATACCACATATTTTAGTCCTCCACAAATAGCACATTATGCAAGCAATGTCTTGCATAGATTCTTTCCCCTGAGAGGAACATTAAGAAAGAAAATTTAGGTTGAGCTGTTGTCCTTTAAACAAAATTGATTCAGTCGTTTCCCTGCTGTGTATGAAATCTGTTAATTCATGAGTGTTTTGATGGAGATGGCATTTCCATTTCAACGTCCTTCAATTACAAGTGAAAAAAAGTCACACCACACAGGGCCGGGAAAAAAGAAGCAAAAAAGACATTTATCAGCTACCTTGTGACAATTAAGATGGAGCAGATGACAGTTTATTGTCATACATAGTACTAATGAAATAGGTGAAACAGCTCCTGAATTAGAGAAAGGAAAGTTGCTTATTATCTCTGTCACTGTCTCAGGACAAAAATACAGCACCATGGGGTAGTATGTCTTCCAGGTGTAACAAGTTTCATTTGTTCACTTCAGCTTCACAACAGATACCCACAGTTTTTTGCCAAGGCAAGTGGTCTTTATAAACCTTTGTACTAGCTAACATTTCTCATAGCAGAGGAACCACTACTGGTTTCAGGCACATCAGATGCAATTTCTAGCTACTGCAGATGAGGGAGCATCCATGAGTTTCCATTATCACATCTTTCTGTGCTGAGCTGCAACTTACATGGAGAAATATATATAATAGATGAGGTCCCACATGCAGGAAAGAGCAACAGATCATCTCCAGAAGTGAAAAAGTGAATGGAAAAATCATGTTACTGGAGAGCAAAACATGATAGATGATCATATTTAAAAAGAGATGGTGATATATTTAGAGTGCATGATTAATGACAACAGATAGGAAAAGGAGGAGTCTCGGAGATAACTGAGAAATGTAAGTCAGAAGGGGGAAAGAGGCAAATAATTCTGAAATAACAAATGCATGTGGGGATGTTTTTCTTCCCTGAGCCTACCTTGCAACTGGGGGCTGTTTGCTACCACCACATTTATATCTGCTCATCTGCAAGAATGTGCTCTGAGAACAGGGTGATCTCAGCAAGAGCAGGGGAGTGTTGCACGCCTGTCTGGTACTGGCAGAGGTCACAGAACTAAAGGTGGTGGTTAGCTCCAACATGACCGTCCACAGGAGACCACAGAGACCAAAGCCTGTGGGAGAAGACCAGGCCACAGCGTGAAGAGCTCCACTGATGTCAAAGTGCCCCAAAGTTAAATCACTGGACTGGGCAATAATGTTTAAAACACTGAACAGTCTTTCACTCTACATTTATTGCCTTTGTAAGGTGCTTTGAGGTTAAATCATTAATTTTCTTGTAGATGCTCCAAATGGAAGAGAAATAGCAGAGAAATCAGACCATGCTCCTCTGATATCTAAGACTTGAGTGAGTGGAATTTCTTTGACTACCAGTGAAAGTACCATTGGTTAACTCTGGTGAAGTGGTTTGTATTTTACAGTTCTTGCCTTACTTGGTGAATGTCCACGGAGTAACCTAGGCCCTAGCTGGTAATTCAGATCCTTAAACATTAAGAAATATCAATATTCTGGCCCAAGAACAAATAGTCAAGAGCCATAGTCCTCAGAATCTAGACCAAGGATGTGAAGAAAAGAGATGGAGAAATACCGAAGCGCTGATGCAGACTTGCTCAGGCAGTGACTCAGGAACAGCCCTGACAGGGGCTGTCTTCCAAGGCGCAGCACAAAACAGAGCTCACGCTGAGTACACCATGTAAGAACTTTCCCAGCATGACAAAGATTTCAGATAAAGTCAACGTGTTTAGACCAAAGTTGATATCCTTTCACAGTTTCATTGAACAATATCAGCTAGATTAGGAAATGTCATTAATTATCTCTGTAACTGCATCGGGAAGCCTAAACCTATGTCTGCAAAACAAGGTCATCAAACGCTGTTTTCCTCCTCTCAGCAGTCTTATTTGAAATGCTGTAAAGCAGGCTAACTCATCACAACAAATCAGGAGGTAAAGCTCATCAAGGGCTTGCTTTTGGAAAAAGCTAAAGAGAAAGGACCAGGGAAGAGCAGAAGCAGAATGGGAAAAGAAGGAAAAGAATTAGATGGGTGGTGAAAGATCCAGTGAGCCGCAAAATAGAACAAGGGCATATTGACAGTAGGTATAACATCAGAAAGACAAAAGTTTAGGTGTAGAGAGCAAGAGAAATGGAAAAAAGGGATGAGCAGTGCCACTGTGCTTTCTGTAGAACAGCATAGCTCCGTGCAAGAATCTTAGGAATAGTTTTCACATAGTATAAAAATAATTATTTTATTATACAGACAGCTGGAAATAAACTGTCCAAATCTCACTGGAGAAAGAACTTCCCAGAATCAAAAGTAAAAACAGCTCTTGATTCTCAAAGAGTTTTTGTTCCTATTTATTGAAAAGGCAGAGAGATCAGATACGAGTCTTAAAGGGAACTGAGACGATAAGAGTAGAGGCGAGCTGCCTCTGAGGCAGCCTGTACCTCGCAGCCAATACTGGCCACATGAAATAAGAGTGTGAATCAGAACATGAAATGACTCCGACATCTGAGACCAGGCAAGACGCAAGGAAGAATCCTAGAGTACCTGTTTATTCATCTCTGATTCATGAAACCCTGTCTACTGAAAATCATCTGCAACTACGAAGCTTCTGTAAGAGTTTCGGATCTTTGGGATGTACTGCAACTTAACTATCAGTCATCATGCCGAGCCACTCCCGAGGAAAAGGTAAGATTATGAGATTACATTCCAGAGTATTTTAACACTGCCCCACAGCACCCAACAAGCTGGGATGCCAATATCATTAAACATGGCTGGTAAATTATTATTTATAAAAGATATTCAGAATGAAACAGTCCTGCCATGCTGTATTGGCAAAACATAGTTTAGGGTATATAAATGACTGACACACAGCTCCTGCAAATGTTTATGCATGCACTTAGCTTTAAGCATGGGAGAAATCCCATGGATCTTGAGAACTGCTGGAATCCCTGGGTTATAAAAGTTAAGGAAAATACATGTATATAGAAAATTGAAAAGTTTGCAGGCTTAGAATCTGCATGTGAGATTTCTCACCCCGGAATAATCTTTTACTTTTAAAATTTATGTTAAAGAGTTTTGTATAAATTCGTATTTACAATTATATTTCAGTGTTTATGCAGCTCCACAGCCACCCTTGCTGTGCGGCAACTTCGATTCATTACTAGGTTGAGGTTGATGAATGCTTATGTATTAATACTGCAAATTAGAGGACATTTTTTTTTCCCTTTCTAGCTAGGGGTTGATGAATGCATATATACCAGTATGGTTCCTTTTTTTATTTTATTTATTTATTTATTTATTTATTTTTTCCCCTTTGGAGAAAAAAATGGGAAGAACTAGGACTGTCTTCTGCCTTTTCAACTTCTTTCCTCCCTGCTAGGTAGCTTTTCACATGCTTTTCTCTGTATGCAAAGACACTGCTCTGAAATCTCTGAGCCTTGTGCAATATACAGGGGTCAGCGCATACAAAGCAGTATGCAGAATGAAGAATGCAACTTGCTTGTAACCTTCTTCTTTCCTTTATCAGCAAACAACTTAGAACTAGCTCTTATCAGATAACTGACACGAACTGTTCATGGGCCCTGACACTGCAGACCTTTATTCACATTCCTAACATCAGCAAGGTGAGTAGTCCTATTGTCTTCAGTGGAGTCACTCTCGTGTTTAAACATACAAAAAGATCATTTCAGGAATAAAGCTTGATTAGCACTAATGCCTGCAGTGAACTTCGTGGTTAATACAGTTTTAATGCAACTTAGAAAAGAGATGGAATTTACTGGAATTTACTGTTAAGTCTAATGGATTAATGGATTTGCTCTGTATAGAGTGAGTGATGTTGGTACAGCTAGCAGAACAACAAAATTAAAAAAATTCACCGAAATAATAGACTCAGTATACCTTTTTGTCTACTTTTTTTTTTTTTTTTTTCCCCTGAGGCCTTTGAGTACATGCCATTAGGCTTGTCCTTGAACTATATAGGCTAGAACTTAAAAACAGACATCTGGGATTCTTGGGTAAACAGATTTGGATCTTTAAGGAATCCATTGAAGGCTGAAACAAAACTTCATGGGTTGGCAGGGATCCGTGATACAGTGATACAAAACTGGAACGGGTAATGGCACTTAGCCAACCCTTTGCATTCATCCCTCCTCCTCTTCCTCCTCTCTCCTCTCACTTGTTTGCCCTCGTACGGGATTCACCCTTTCACTAAGCTGCTGCTATTGCTGAGCCAGCAGAAAACCAATATGTTTGTGTGTGTGTGTTTATTTTCCCCACAGCTTATTATTCTGTTGGGCCGAACTTCTGAGCTGAATAGCGTTGAACCCCCTTGTGCCAGCAGACAGGAGGGGACCCGGGGCTGAGGCCACGCGTGGCCGTTACCCCGAGCTGCCGTTACCCCCCAACGGCCGCCTCAGCCGTTACCGCGGCGGGCGCGGAGAGAGGGCGGGGCGGGCGCGCGTCACGTGGCGCGCGCCCCTCCCGCCGCCGTCACGTGCGGGCGGCGGTCACGTGAGGCGCCGCCTGACGTGCCGGGGCCGCGTCGGCAGGGCCGCGGCGAGCGGAGCGCGGAGCCGAGCCGAGCCCATGGCGCTGCCCGGCCTCGCCCTGCTGCTGCCGCCGCTCCTCGGCCTCCTCCTGCCGCGGGGAGCCGGGGCTGGGCCCCCCCCGGTGCTCGGCGACGCCTACCGGGAGCTGTGCAGGTGGGTGGCGGGGGGGCGCCGCCGTCTGTCCGTGTCCGTGTGTCCCGGCCGCGGGCGGGCTGAGGCCCGGGGAGCGGGGCCGCTGTGGCTGGGGGCTGCCCCCGGAGCCGGGCCCGGCCCGAGCCCAGGCCTCTGCGGGCTGCAGCGGCCCTGCCCTACCCCGGCGTGCCAGTGGCAAGAAGGGGAAGGCTGCGGAGGGGGGCAGGTGCTGTGCTGCCTGTAAATAAATCAGAGCAGGTCGGCACGCAGGGGAGGAAGGGCCGCTTGCAGTGGGGCAGAAAGCTGCCAGAGCTTCTGTCCGCAGGAACTGAAGTGTGAGGGCTGCTCGAGCTTTGAGTCTGTTTCTTTGCCTGCCTCTGGTGGCCGTACTGCAGGCAGGCTTGGGCAGTGTGGGGAAGGAAGGACAGACCTGCTCTGCTTTTTCTGAAACTTTGTGGAGTGTCGTGGCTTGCAGTGCCCGGTGTCGTCATGCTTTTGCTATTGTTCTCGCGTGCTCCTGAAGCTGGCCCTGTGGCCATGTGACTTGCAATTAGCTGTGTTTATCTTCTCTGCTCAGTCGCCTCTAGGATTGCTGCAATGTGAGCACCTGGGAAAGAATACAGAGGACCTGGTTGGATATATGAAGCTAGGTAGTGAGAATGACCAGAGCAGTGTGTTTGCTCCTTTCAGCACTTGTCCTGGAACCACAGCACGCTCTCATGCTGTTAGAAGCCTTGGGTTTAGCATTTGGCTTAGCCTCAGAGAAGAGGCATGCCCCGAGCACAAGGAGATGACCTGTAGGTGAACTTGCTCAGCTCTATTAAGTGCTTCGACAGACTTAAATGGGAGATGTCATGAATAACTCGTTACTGGACTTATTTGCATATGTCCATGGTTGCTTCATAGGCCTGGGAATTTGCCACTGCAATGGCCTCAGTGTGACTTCTCAGCACATTGGCTTCCTAGAGCTCTTGCATGTTTGAACCTCGCATTGCTCTTCCCTTTCTCACACGTTCTGTGATGTGATGTAGTAGATGTGGTTTAGACCGTATCGCAGAAGGTGAAATGTCAAAGTGCATGCAAGGATCGAAAGCTGAAGGGCATGTGGTGTAACCGTAAGGCTGTTACGCATGATGTGCCTGTCAGAGAACTTGCCTGAAGACATGTGCCATGTGTGATGATCGGAAAAGGTGACAGGTAAAGCAGAGCGGAGCTAAGCATGAGTAGGGATACACAGTAAGTGTTCTCTCAGCTCTTGAAGTACAGCAGCAGTTTTGTATGTTGTGCCATTCAAGCTGTGGTTTTCTTCTAGGGAGAGCTTTCTTTGATACAGAAACAAACCTGCTCTGTGCATATTTATGCTAAAACGTTAGCCACATCTAATGGTGATTTCTGTGGGAAGTTCTGCATCTAAGCTGATTGCAAATCATCAGTCCTGGAAACTGTTCCCAAGCCTGTGAGCTTGCGATCGCACTGGTTGAACCTGCTCGCAGAAGTCTTCTGGTTTCAGTCTCGCCTCTGCAATGTTTTCATACTGAGGAGGTGCTGGGCACAAGACTGTATGGGTGCACAGTGACTGAGGGATCAACTTTCCAGTCCCACTGTTGTAGGTTTCTCACCTCTGTGCTGGGTGGTCTGGCTGTCGTGCCCCTTCAGCAAAGGGAGCCGGCAGTGCCTCCCTCGAGAGCAATGCCTGCCTCTCTCTAGCCATGCCCTGTAGCTGTTAGGGTGGGGGTGTGCCTTCCTAGCAGGCATCTCATGGGGTTTGAGAACCAGGAAGCTGAGGGTGATTATGAAAATGGTGGCGGTAGCTGTCCCATGCTTCGTTGCATTTGGGGTGGTTCGCTACCATTCAAACCCCAAAGCGGCTTGTGGTTCGGGTTAAATGGTGCATGCGAGCTGACGGCCTTTCTGCAAGCTGCTGATTTCAGCACCGGAGCTGCTCATTCCCAAGGTAAACTAAACTCACTGATGCTCCTCTCCCTTTTCATGCTACTTTTTTGCTTCTTTGCTTTGTCAAAAAATGCCAAGTGCTTTATTGAGCTTAGGATTTGTTAGAAAGTATTTTAACTTTCTTTAAGACACTGAAGCAAGGACATAAAGCTAGGTAGCTGGAAAGACTGACCTGCGGGCAAGTCCAATCCAAGTACATGTTTGGACACTGCTTGCACAACTGTCAGCTGTAGCCTGGATTGGTGCTGCCTCCAGCAGGGGATCCTCCCTGCCTGCTGCTGCCTCCTGTGCCCAGTGAGCCAGGCCTGGGGCTGGCTCCTCTCCTCTGTGCACTTGAGCACGCACCTGTTGTTTGTGCTGAGGTAATTCAGGGGCAGAGCAGTTCTTGCATCCAGACTGTGTCGCAAGCAGAGGCCAGAAATAAGCAATGGGGAAGGCAAAGAAGAGGGGAACTTCCCCTGCAAGGTGGAGGTGGATCTGTTTCAGGCCTGTAACTGTGAGATAAAACCAACTGTGGGCTATCTGGAAACAGGTGCTGTCATGTAATTTCAGCAGAACTAGCTATTTTGCAACTAATGTCAAGGTGGATACTTCTGAACTGCCTTTGTTCACAGCTCTTGAATGGCAGCAGAAGTGGCTGCCTGGGTGGTGTGAGGCACGAGTGTGCGGTTTTGCTCCTCTCCTGGGGGTCTGCAGGAGCTGGGGATGCCTCGGGGAGTGGTGGCACTGGAGGCTTTTCTGGTTCTTCTTGTGGTGGAGCACAAGCTGAGTTTGCAGCCTGTCAAGAAGCGATGCTTTGGAAATGACCAGGTATTTTTTTTTTTCTCCTCAGGTTGTTCTTGCTGCTTTGGCTCTAGCTGCAGCCCGGAGCAGGCAGTGAGGTTAATGCTCATGCACTCTCCACCCCTATAACCGAGTCTATTGCTTGTCAGAGCTGCTGCTGTAACAGCTCCCTTAGAATTAATTTGGGATATCCTTAGCACTTCAGGTGGCAGCTCTTTGCTAGCTGCATGACCTTGGCTGGACCAGGTAAGGGGCCAAGCAGGACGAGTAACTGCTGGCAGGAGGTGTCTGCTGAGCAGCTGGAGGAAGGCAGCTCACATGGCTCAGCTGCAGCTGGTGTGGCCAAGTGATTGCAGACAGACTGTGTTTAGCTGATGGCAGAGATCAGTTTGTGGCCAAGTGATTGCAGACAGACTGTTTCCCTGATGGCAGAGATCAGTTTGTAAGCATCGGAAAGTAGAGCACATGCCATGGGGCTGCAGTGAGATCCTATCCCTGGGCATTCATTGCATGTCAGGAGCTTTACTTGTGAAATAAATAATTATTTCTTTCGCTGTGGATGTGCATTTTGCAGCTGGTAGTTGAGAACAGCTGCTCAGACTACATCCAGTCTGCTGTTCAGCTCTGGTGTGTTTGGTCAGTGCAATGAACAGATCTCCTCCTTCTGTCCCCGTTCTTTTAAAGAAAAGGCCTTTCAGCTTTCCTGAAATAACTGTGCTCTGGAACCAGGGTAGGCTTTCATTTGTGTGTGCCGTTGAAGGTGTGGTTTGGAACATGATGAAACAAGAAATCCCACGTTTACTTGCCCTGGATTGTTCAGAAAAATTCCTCTGACTTCCTTGTATAGGGGTCTGTGACGGGCCGGAGAGCGGCTGACTTCAGCAGCCGTTTTGTTGCAGTTCTGTAAGCGTTCTCATCTTGTTTCTCTTCTGCTTCTGGCACGTGGTTGAGAGGACTTTAAGGTGTTGATGTTGGTGTTTCATAACAAGGAACTGGGAAAGCAAGGAACTAATCTCTAATATATTGATAATTCTGTTGTATGAAGGACTCGGATTCTTGTTGGTTCACAAACAAACTTTAGTTTCCAAATTCTCTACGGGTGTTGAAGAACACTCCAGCTTGATCAAAAAATGTCATTCTTTGCCTCTTTTGTAATCTGCTGAAACAAGTCAAAAAGAGCACTGGAGCCTTTGGGAGTTTTTCAGCAGAATGTGGAATTTCCAGGACCTCCTCTTACAGTTGTGTTTTGATTGAAACACATTTTCTGATGGAGGAAAAAATGATTTTAGTCTTAATTTCTGTTTTCAGAGCTCTTGAAGTCAGGTTCTTCCAACTTATTCTGTGTGATTGCCTTGTCAGGTTTTCTTCCCTTCCTGGTTTTTCTCTACTATAACTTAATTGGCATCATCTTCCTGCACAGAGATGGTCCATTTCTGAGCCACTTTCTTGCATTTCTGAGCTAATCAGTATGATTGTAAAATGTCAACTCTGTGTACCTGGGAGGAAAGAACAATGGCAAGTGTTTGCTTAGGATTGAGACACAATCCTTGAATCTGATCCTTGATCTGACTAAAAAATAGTTTCACTAGTGTTTCAGGTATGACTCAGTACCTGGTGTGTTGGGGTTTCTCTGAGCTTTCTCTTCCTGTAATAAGATGATGATTTTCAGTTTACAGAGGGAGCTCTTGTATTTGTCCCTGACTTGTTCCAGCCACTAGCAGATTGAAATTAAGGCTGCTGTAGCACAGGGAAGCCAAGAGCCCTCTACTCAGCAATTGCATGGAAAATTGTGTGGTATTCTGCTGGCTCTTTGATTAGAGATGAGATTCGCTGGATTTCAGAGGAGCTCTCAGAGGATTCAAAAAAACAGAATACAGGAGCTGAGCTGCTGCTGCCCCATCCTTGTCTAAGAACTGGGCTTCTGAAGTGGCAGGACAGTGGTGGGTTCTCCTCCTGGGGGGGCTGGGGTATGGCAGTGCCGAGTGAGGTAGCGCCTACAGGTCGAGGTGGAGGCAGCCGAACCTTGGGGGTGAAGCTTCTGGTCAACTTTTGGTAGCTGAGAGAGGGGAGCTGAGCCTCCTTGATAGGCTTGGGACTAATCTGTAGATGAAGGCAAATGCTTCTTTGGGTTAGACTCATTAAACCTTAGGTGAATTGTAAATATCAGGAATGCCTAGGAAGCTGCTGTGTTGCCTTTGTTTTTCCGATGGCACGAGTCTGCATCAAATCCCACTGAAGTTGCTGTTTCAGATGGAGGGGGAAAGCTGGGGGATCTCTTACACTGCAGAAATCAGCTCAATCCAGAGGATGCGCGCTCCTGCCAGAACTGGGAGAGCTCAGAGCCAAGCCGACGATACATGTCTGCTGAGCTGGGCCTCTAACAGCGCCTGGACGGTGCTCCCTGCTAGGAGGCCAGCCCGTCTGGAGAGCTCCTGACCAAAACCAGCTGACCCGGGCACGGCTCCAAAGTGAGCAATGCCGTGTCATGCAGCTCATCACATCCGCGCCGTCGTCTCGGTGCTTGTGATGAGGGAAGTTAGGCCTTATTCAGCCTCAGAAGTGCAGTACATTTTTTGGTTTTGTTGTCTTGCTCTGATTTATTCCCCACTGTGTTATCTAGAGTGGCATGCTCCTTTATCAGATTTTGCTCGGATGGTTTTCTGACATGGCTGTAGCTAGCTGTCACGATCCCTTTTTGTCCCTCGTGGATAGCTCTGCTTGCTTTTCAGCTTCTGACGTTACCCTTCAGAAGCTGTCCCTGGAATGTGGAGTTGTATATACAAGTGCATAGAGGTACAGATAGTCCAGGGAAGCGTTGTTTGTGTCTTTCTGTCTGAGTGCTGTAAGAATCTCAGACCCAGATTTTCCCTTGTAGCTAGATGGATTTGCTGCTGGTGTTCAGGACGTGGCCTGCTGCTCCAGTCTGCTTACACTTGAGGATTTTACGCTGTTGTTGGGTATTGCTGAAAGGCAGTGGTGTGCAGCTGGCCTAAGGGATTTGACAAATTGGTCAGGCTCTCAAGGAGAAAGGTTAACCACCTGTGATGTACCTGCTCACAGTACCCCTTCTCAGGGATTTCAGGGTGGGAGAGGGGTTGGTTGGGTACTGCAGGAAATGTGGGAAACATTTAGGTACTAGAGAAGTATCTCTGTTTTGTTCTTGGCCATGACACAGTAACAACTATTTCTGATACTGATACAGAACACAAACAAGCAACTTGGTGTAGTGGTGTGCTTAACTTTGCAACTTGGTTGCTTCAGGGGCTGGGGCCTAGAGGATGGCAGCACGGAATGTGGATACTAACCCAGGTGCTTTTTTCTTTTCAGTTACACATGGGAAGCAATTGATACAGACAGACATGTACTTTATAAAATAAACTTCTGTGTTGGTGTTGAAGAGTGTGGGAGAACGAGTGCAGTCTGTGCATATGACATCAATAAGAAGAATTATACGTCAGTAGGTAAGTAAACAAGTGTCTTTCCTTCTACGTGATCCAGAGTCATGTTAATGGATGGTCTTATAACTATTTTTCCAAGCTTCTTTGTATTAGCAAAGATTTTTCTTAGAACAGTTTAGCACTTCATTCTGTTGTAGATTTACTATGTAAATTTGAGAAAATGTGATTTCAGATGATTACTTGACAGGACAGTGAAGTTTATCTCCTCATCTAGTTAACAAAAATCTACAGCGGGAAACTGTGCAGCACTATCCCAAGTAGAAATAACTACCTGTGGTAGGTTGTATCCTATTTGGTGTGTATCCTCATCTGAAGCTTGATACCAGACATAGGAAAAGCTTGAGTTAGGGATCTAAACTGTATCGCAGCCTAGCCTGATGTTAAATTAGCTCTTTCACCAGGGTTAGGTGACATTCTGTAATGCAGTCTTGTATTGCTTAGCTTTTGGGATATCTTTAAGTTGTTACCCAAAGGAAGTTAATGGTGCACAATCCTGTTTTCAGTTCCATGTGTCAAATCCGGTGGCTGCTTCAGTAGTTCTGAGGCATCCTTGGTATCTGAAGGAGTGGTGGACTTGAGGGGGCTGATCTAAGTATGAAACTGGTATATTCCTGGCCACATGCTTTGCGTGTTTTTTCTGGTTCAAAGCAGCTCATGGTCTAAACTGTACTTGTGTACTGATTTGCATGGATGCTTTTCACTTCTGAGGTTCCTTCTTTACCTCAGCAACTGAAGCAGTAGCATACAGATACCAGTAAAGAGGTTTTCTCATGGCTGGCTGCTGCTTAAAACAGAACCATGTGCTAGCTTTCTGAAGCAATCTTCTCAGATTGAATCCCGGTTGCTGCAGATCTGATGTCTGAATTTGGCTGTGTTTGTCGATTTTGCTTTCTGTTGGCAGACAGCTTTTATGAGAAGCTATGAATCTTCAGGAAGTGTTTGAGCTTGAGTTGCTGGAAGATGGTGAGGAAAAAGATTCTCAACTGTGTGCAGATGAGCAGCATCTAGTCAGCCTCCCTTTTACCCACCCCTCTCCCTTAGCTGTTGAGATGCTTTGGTTTCAGGCTGTGGTCAATCAGTGGTTTTCATGCTGTTGTGACCCTGACTTCAAATCACTGGGTGATGAGTAGAAGTGTTCCTCAGTTTGTGGCTGTAGTTCTTTAAAGCAGTGCAGTATATCTAAGCACGAGTTTTCTGGAATGGCTGGTTGATGCATCAAAGTTCAAAGTGCAGTTGTGTTTTGTGGTGTCCTCTACTCTGAGGAGCATGACATCTTTCTAGACCACTTGCCACTGCTGCTGATTTTTGTTCCCAAAACGTGTAAGTTTTATTTCCTGCTGAGGTGGATCTGACCTCTTGAGTCTTCAGCTGCATGTGGATGCAAAATGAAGTAGCACGTGAGCAGCTGTTTTAACATTGTCTTGGTTGTATTGGGACTTCGGCACTGTCAGACTGAGTTGAGGTCATGCTGATGTATTATTAAGCTGCTTGTTTGTCAATCCAAGGCACTTATAGCAAGAGAAGAACAATCTTTGAATCCATGTCTACCTGGATGTAGACTCCCATTGTAGGTTAGCAGCCAAGGCAGCTAAGCCATGTGCCTGTCTTAAAGCAATCCCGCTGTTATGAGATTACTTGCATGCCTGTGCTGAGTGCAGCTGAAGGGTTTTGACTTGGGGAAAGGAAGAGCAAAAAGTCAGCTAATAAACTTTGCTAAGTGGTAAACTTTGGTCTGGTACAGGCTTAATCAGATTTCTACCTTCTTGCAGAGAGGAGTTTTGACTGCAAACAATAGTTTTGCTCTTAAATATTTGCTATGCAAGAGGTAACAGCTATAGGGAGCAATAAAATCAACTCGACTTTGGTGGGAGCAGGACCTGTATGATCTGTGACTGTAATCAAACTGTATGCAAGGGAAGCCTCGTGGCCAATGCTAACTGCGTTTGCGGGACATCCAGTGTTGCATTGAGATCCCAGAGGCCTCTCCTAGAAAATGGTTTTCAGCTTTATTGATTGACCTGAGCAGCTTTTAGGGTATAGGCAGAACGCATAGTTCTTGAATGTCAGAGGATGGAAATGACCTGGTACCTTTTTAATTTGGTGTGATACCTAGTGACTGATGTTCTACCTAGTTGGACTGCTGTTACAGCAATATTTCTGCTGTTAGTTGTAACTGTGTTAACCTGAGTGGTGAAACATGAAGTTTTTCAGCTGCAACAGGCTGGACGTGAAATGATAGCTGCCACCTAAATGCCCCCTTTCTCTTGGGTGACTGATTAAAAGGCAATCAGGGAAGACATTCTCCTCCCAAGCAGCCTAAAAGATGAAGGAACAAATGCGTAAAAAGTGTTGTGAATAGTGTCATTAATACTGGTCTACTACAACCATGTAAAATGAAGTTTAACTGCTAACTCTTCTGACCTGTAGAAGCTGGCTTGCGGTGTTACTTTAAGGAGAGAATGCATCTCAAAAGTCATGAAGAAATGTGATTGGAGAGGGAGCCTGTTGTAGGGAAGGTTGCTGCAGAACTGGTACTCAGGAAGGACATCCATGGGAAGCTGACAGTGTGAGGGGGTGGCTTGTAAGACTACTCCCAGCCCTGCTCACAGTGTGCTACTGAAGGGTTTCTTGCTATGATCTTTGTAAGTTCCTAAAGTAGCTTTTAAGCATGCATGAGGGTGGGGAGAGAGCATGCGTGTTGCCCTGGATTAAACAAGATGTTCTGGCTTTGCTTGTTTTTTTCTTGAACATCACTTTAACTGAGGAAACTGGAGTCGACTAACAAGGCCTTTAGAGCAATGTAATTAATGTGTTGTCAGAACTGAGAGAAAGCTAATGCTTACAGAGGGCTAAGTTAGGTCCTCAGAAGCTGCTGCTGTAAATTCTTGGCTAAACTGAGGCTTGAAACCATACATGTTTATACAGAGTTCAATAACTTGTGCATGTCGTTACCATATGTACCTCTTTTGACTAGGAAGCTATGCTGGCTTCCTTCCTACCAAATCTCCTAGTGAAGAAGAGAAGACACTGACAGCATCTTCTAAGCAATGTTGTAATGAGTAGAAATCTTGCTCTCAGAGTAGTGTGCATCTCTTAATGTTTATAAGAGGGCTATGTGATGCTTCTGTCAGCATCAGTGCTCATAGTCCTAAAAACCCGAAGGCTATGTTTTGGTAAGTGTCAAGAAATACAAAAGGCAGGGATCTCAGACAGCTTTCATGTGCGTGCAGGCTGGTATAGAACTGCATGGTGGTAACGTGCATCACTGTGTCAGGCTCTCAGCCTGGCACAAATCCCTGTGCACATGTGTATGAGCAGGTTTGGTCTATGCTGCCCTTCCGGGCTGACAAGTCTCCAATCTTACCTTCCCTTGAAAAGGCAGGTGGCTACTGAGTTCTGTCTGTCTTGTTACCCTGATATATAGAGGGGTGCAGTGAATGCCTGCTTAGGTATTAGCACCTCGATGGAGCTTCTTGTAACAGAGTTAGCGTGATGTGATCATGTGCAGCACCGATGGGCAGTCCTTATGGTACTCAGGGCTAGCTGTCAAGGTCTCGTTCTGCCTGTCACTGCTTCAGTTTTACCTGCAAGCTTGGTGGCTATAGCAGCTTTCTCCTGCTACAGTTCAAAGCAGTTAATGTGCGGGACAGGACTGGAAAACAGTGCTGGGCAACCTGATGGAAAGATGCCAAAGAATGTCATTAGGGAAAGCCCTGGCAGCTGGTAACAGTGGTTGGGAAGGTGTTGCTACAGAACACTGCCTTGACTGTTTTTGAGCTTCTTGTATCCTCTTCCTGCCCAGTTCATTTACATCTGCTGCTTTTGCTCTCAGAACTATATTACCCCAGATTGGGTGCAGTGTAGTTTGTTCTGCCCTGATTGAGGAGTTAACAGGCGGGGAAATGTGGCTGGGCTCACATGTGACCTAGATGCAAAGCTGCTGTCTGCAGTGATTACAGATTTGACTTTATCTCTAGTGCAGACATCAAAAAAAAATAAGGAGGGAAGCCAGTTAATATTGGCATTTTATAGTGTTCTCTGCAGTTCAGCCCAAACTTATTGCAGCACTAAAATCTACCTAGTAAAAATGGGCAGCGTGGAGGACTTTGCTTAATGCTAACCAAATGGGTTTGAACGGGAACATTCCTGAGCTTGAGCTGGCACTTATCATGACTTGAAATGTGCTTCACCCTTTCCCTTCCTGTCAGGTGTTGGAGAAAGAGGGACGTGCAGTGAAGCTTTGCTGACCCCAGCCCTCCTGCAGCATGCAGGCTGTGCTAAAGGGGATGAGAGCTGTAGGAGGACATGCATGGATGTAGTGGTTCTGCGTTGGGTTTAGCAGGAGATAATGCTAATGCTGCAGATGCATCCAGGCACTGATGGAGTTCCCATTAAGTACACTCTCTGACACGATCTGTTTAAAAGACAGGCTAAGAAGCTGATAAATTGAAGCTAGTGGGAGGAAGGAGGGAGTTGTGGTACTTGCAGCTAGCTCGTAATGGTGTTTGCTTACAGAGCCTTGAGGAAGTAGATGTGTGATTAGAGAGATCAAATACAGTCTTAACTTGGATCTGGACTTTAGATCACGAGAACTGCAAGGGAAGTCTGCAGCTGTACTCTGTTCAGGCTGTTCTCAGGTGGACTAGTATGTCTTGTGCTGTTCAGTGCTTGAGCTTAGAGCTTTTGTGTTGAGCTTCCACAAAAGCACAGTACTGTAACCTCTCCCCCTCTTTTCTTTTTGCAAATATTAGGTGATCTAAACTTGCAAAGAGCTTCTAAAACTCTTCTGGAACTCAACACTACAGCTAAGTGCCCACAGAAAGACAGTCAGCACCAAATTCAAAGCAACATTAACTTCTTGTGTGGGAAAACACTGGTAAGTCTAAATCACTTATTCTTATCTTCAATGGGTAAAGTGTGTACTTTTAACTTGCTTTTTAGAGAGACTTGCTGTACTAGTGGATGTAGTAATTAACAAGCTTCTTAGCCTAAGGAAAAGCCAATTACATTTTGGTACCAAATTAAGGATGTGATCCAAAGGAGCATTCAGAATTCAATCAAGTTGGAAAATAATTTCAGATCTGCTGTTTAGGTCTGATCGCAGGCTCTTCTGGGTCTTTAATGTTTTCACTTGTATCTTCGTGTTTTTCTGTAGTATTTTAATAGCGTGATATGGAGGAGTTGGTCAACTGGGTGCTGTAACTGAAAGTTGTTTCAATACTGGCTGTGTCTGAGCTGTGGACCTAGAATGGCTGTTTAATAAAACAGTCCTGAACAAGACTGATGTCTGGTGCAAGTCAGCATAGATGACATCAGTAAGCTTTAGATTTTGTCCGCACATAGTTGAGCTTAGAGTGCCTGTGCATCTAGCTGGGCTTCTGGGGGTGCAGTTGTTTGTGGGTATCTGCCTAAAGTTTGGATGGAGATAATTGCATACACACTTTTCAGGTCATATCCATGTGCTTTTGGAGTTGCGCCTTCTAAACACTTAACTGATATCCCAGCTTGGTATTCTGTACAGACTGAGAAGTTTGTGTATCAGAGATAAACATGTATCAGGGCTGCTGTTGGCACAGGTAACACCATTGCACACCCTCTTTTGGAAGCGTACCCAATTCAAACACGGTGCTAGTGCAGCAGAGAGGTTTAAAGGCTTCCTGTGTGCTGTTTTAGCAGATGATTCTGTAAACAATTAAAAATAGTTCCTCAGCTCCAGATATATCACTAGATCATAACCACCTTTAAACCTCTTCTAGTTACTGTAGTTGTAACACCTATTTTCATGTGACCTAGCAAAAAGATTTTGTAATAGTGTCTGGAACAACTTGTCTCCAGCACTTTTTGCAGGGTTAAATGGAGGAGGGTATCTGTTTGAATAGGCTAAAGCATTTCTAGCTGAGGTGACGAAGGGACAGCATGCAAAAAAATCTCATTTTCCTTCTATAAGCAGAGGCATTTACTTGAGCATCCAGCCTTAAACTATGGTAGAAGCTTTGTCCTGAAATAGGTGCAAGTGTTTGATGTGAGCCTATTTAAAAAAAAAAAAGTAGCTGACTTCAGAGGTATCCTTTCCATATAGCTGAAGAACTTGCTAATCAGACTTTGTGGGATGAAAGATAGGGAACGGGTAAACGATGCAGTCTTGCTGTTTGTCTCTTTACGCACAGGTATTGGTCTTTTCATTTTTAGTAACTAGATGTGCCTGGTACTCCTGCCAATATCAGTTGGCATAAGTAAGTGCTTCTAAAAGATGTAGTACAATTTTTGCATATTAGGATTGGCACATGGTAATTAGAGAACTTGCATATGCAGAGTGAGAAGGATTTGGCATCCTGCATCTTCATGAGTTTACCAACAAATCTGATAAAAGGCACAAACAACAGTCATGCTATTTAGGTGCTATTAAGAAATTGTATGGCTTTGATCTGATCTGTATTCTCTTCTTAATCTCTTAAATTAATTTATTTCTGTCTGTCGATACAAAATAAAACTGAAGCCTGTTCTTAAAATGACTTTCTCCTTTAAATAGGGTACGCCTGAATTCGTAACAGCAACAGAGTGTGTGCACTATTTTGAGTGGAGGACCTTTGTTGCTTGCAAGAAAGACTTGTTTAAACCTGTGAAAGAGGTAATCCATGTACTATACATATAGAAATTTCTTTTCACAGATCTGGCAATCTTACTTTTCCAGCCCTCCTACCCCAAATAAATCCTAACAACCTCCATAGGCCAGACTTCTTCACATGCATATAAAACAGCTGGTGGAGCTGAGAATTTTTGGTAGTTCTTCAACCCTTTAAGATCTGTATGGTTTATAGTAAAACTGTAAGAGCTGGAGCGGAATATGCTAAGTTCTGATGCCTTCTTTTGTCCAGTGTATCTAGCTTTAAGTCTATCTGAAAGTACTTGAGCTTCTAGAAGTAAAAGACTTTTTCATGTATTAAATTGTTTTTATAAATGCCTGTTTCTAACTTCTCCCGACTTCATTGGCCTGCATTGTATGTATTTTCTTGTTCTTTTAGGTGCCTTGCTATGTATTTGATGAAGATTTGAAGAAACATGACTTAAATCCTCTCATCAAGATTTCAGGACACTACTTGGTGGATGATTCTGATGATGATGATTCCTTGTTTATAAACATCTGCAGGGACTTAGGTGTGGACACAAGCTTGTATCACCTGTCAGAGTATAAATTCCTAGCAGTATGATTCTTCTAGTGCCCCAGTTGAGGTTGTCCCATGACTGAAGACTGGTGGTTTAGGATTTTCACTATTGTTTCAAACTATTTCTGATGATTTGAAGGCTGCTTTTTGTGAAGCCAAGTTTTCTTCTCTTAACTGTTGAGCTGTTCAGAGATATTTGCCTTCTGGAAGGGCAAGGACTGCTAGAGAAGTTTACTTAAGCTCTTCCACTCAATCAAGTCTTTTAGCTGTTCATGTTACTGCCAAATAGGACCAAGATAGTTCATAGCACGTGTTTTAATAAATGTTAAATTTTAATAAACTCTGAATACATTCATTTGTGCTCTGAATTTATTGCTTGCTTTGGGCTCCCATTCAGGCTGTTGCTTTGTTACAAGTCTATCCCAAAATGAATTTGAAAGTGTGTTTAGGTGCTTTGATAAGTAATGGTGCATAACTATCAATGTCATGTCAGTTGGGAGCCAGCCATATAGATAAGGAATTAAAATAGCAAAATCACTTATTTGAATCTTATTGAAAATGCTTACTTGTACTCTTGCACTGATTTTTTTTTTTAAGCTGTGCAGTTATTTCTTGTATGCCCGTGTTTAGTGGACAAGTAAACTAGAACTTCTAATTACAGTGGCAGGTCTGTTCTTTTAAAAACAAATCCAGAAGAACGATTAGTCTGAAGCTTTTTGCTGACAGCTTTGGATAAGATAAGAATCAAAGGAGGAAAAAGCCCTTTCCTGACAGTTAGGGCTTTCTGTCCCTTGGTACTGTTTCACTGTCGTGGGGGGAAAAACTAGTCAAAATACTTCTAGAAATTCTTGAGCCATATATATATATCCAACTGCTGTACTAGCTACCAGAAACTAATTTCAGCAAGGAAAAAATGGGACAGCATGAGCTTCTCCTTGTACATAAGTACTTCAGGTTTTGTCTTGTCAGTTACACATTCTTTGTTACCCATTTTAAAGATATTTAAATAAAAAAAAAAGGGTGAAGCAATGTATAGCAAGTAAGTCCACAGATGAAATCATGAAGTACTCCGTGCAGAGCTGGGCTTAAAAATTGAATTTTGTTTTCTATGTTCTTTAACAGGAAACTCAGGTGGAGAGGCCAGTAACTGCCCTGCTGGCAGTGCGGCTTGCTTGATACACGAAGGTCATGCATATGATGTTGGCCGTCCAAAGGAACAGCTGAAGCGTCATGACCAAGACAGGTACTTCATATTTCTGGTGGTACTTCCATGAATGCTTCTCAGTCATCTAGACTGGGTGAAGTAGTCTTATTTTCTTCTAGAAGACCTGTGTTGCCATCAGCATGAGTTCAACTTTGAAGCATTGGCAGAGATTATTTTTTCGAATAGTGGGAGGGTAGAGTCTTTTTGCAGACATCCCATTGTACTGCCATAGCACAGCAAATTTTCTTCCTTGTCAGAGGCTCTTTACAAAATTGCAAATTTCTTGGAAGCCAGGGTTAATTAGTATTCTCTGCCTCCAAGCAAAAGAATGATTTTTAATTCCATCTGTCTAACGTTTCAGGGCTTGAAGGGTAAATGTGTTGGCTCTGTGTTTTGACTCACTTTGTTTGGCTCACTCTACTGCCCAGGAGTGCTTTAAATTGAGAATAGGGCCAGATGTTGCCCTTCTGTAGTTTTGTATGAATGGGTTCTTAATACAAGAAACAGATAGGCAGTGCGAGGTTTATTGTTTCTGGTGGTGGCAGAAGAGCGGGGGCTAGGAGAAACTGTTTCCTTGATGCTCTCTGTTCTGTTTACTGCTTTTTTTTTTTTATGCTCAGAAGGAGCAGTCAGGCACTGGGACGGGTTGCCCAGGGAGGTGGTGGAGTCACCGTGCCTGGGGGTGTTTAAGGTTGGACGTGGTGCTTAGGGACATGGTTTGGTGGGTGACATTGGTGGTAGGGTGGTGGTTGGACCAGATGATCTTGGAGGTCTTTTCCAACCTTCAAGATTCTGACTCCTGTCTTTAAGAGTTATTTAGAAAACTGTAAAATGAAAGGAATAAAGGCATCCATAAACAGCGACTTCCAGGAATGGGACTACTTTGTATCCTGTAAAAGAGAGGTGTCTCTCCAGCAGTATGCTTCTGTGCAATGTCTCGTGTCTGAAGTGTATTTTCAGCTTCTTTTTTCTTTCTAGGCTGGTACTGAGTTATGAGAGACTATACACTGATGATGAAAAGCCAGACTTCTGCCTAGGCCATAATCCAGCAGTGACAATCACTTTTGTTTGCCCATCAAAGAGAGGAGAACAGGTAACTTTGCTGTTCTAGTGTGTATGTTAAATGGTTGGTCTTCTAACTTCTGTGTGCATTACCTTTCATTTTAATTGATAACTAAAGTGAACAGAAAAATTCTGCTGTTTTGTGGCTTGTCAAGAGTGAGGCATATTCAAAGTAAATACTATTCAAAAAACTGTATTCTAAAACTTAAAACAAGGGCTTGAATAAAATTTTCCCAGGGTTATATTTTTCCGTTATTTTGGTGAATTTAGTTATCCTTTTGTAGGTTAAACATTTTTGTCTGAATGGGACTCTTAGAACAGTGTTAGTCCTTGGCACAGAGCTCTTCTTTGGTTGATGAAGGTTTTTTCACCAGTCAGGCTTGGGCATGCTTATAGTTTTCTGTTACTTGTTTCTTATTCTGGCCTTCCTCAGGGAAAAAAAAAAATACAAGTGTCACTGCTTGGCAAAAGTTTGTCACTTACTAAGCAGGCTAACTCCTTTAACCTTAAAGTTTGTACTGTTAAGCAGCAAATCAATTTTTGTGGGACACTGTTTGAGTGAACTTCAATGCAGTGTGGTAATTACTGCTTGTGATGCCAGGTAATTTCAGTAACCTGCATTCCTTAAATTGGATCAGTGTGGATATTGCTAGTGCTCTACTGCTTTATGTTGCAACGCTTTTGGCTGCGGGCTGGCAAAGGAGGAACTCTTGTCAGGCTAAGTTTGATTTAATGTTTTGTCCCTCCTATGACCTAGATGGGTACCATACATCATTCTCATGACTGGGTGACATGGGGTGTCCTCTGATGTCACTTTGTAATACATCAGCATAACTATGCACACACATAGCATGAATGGTATTGGTAATGTTAACTGTGCCTGTAACTTCCATGATATTTACCTGTGTATCTGCCTGTTTTAGTTACGTCAATCAGTGAGCTTCTAAATGTTCCTCTTCAAGAGGTGCAAAAATATTTCTCTACAGAAAAAAGCATCCAATGAAAGTGTTGGCTAAAGAATTGTCAAATACTGCCTCTTATCCTGATTTGGACTGAGGGAAGTTAAAGTTGCTAAAATGTCCAGTGCTATGAGGCTGCTTTGCCTTCAGATAATACTTCATCTGTTCCCATTTTTGAGGAATCCCCAGAGGCAAACACAATCCAATCCAAGCTGTGCTCAGCAATTTGACCTCCATGTTCTTTTGCCAACACGTAAAATAAAAAACGCTTTTTTAAATGTACTTTACTTCTAATCCTCTGCTAATGGCTGATGCTTTACTTCTTTTTAGACTTCTAGTAGTTTGGCACATAATCAGTAAGAGCTGTTTTATTCTATAGTCAATACCTGAATAGCCAGAGATGGTGTTTGCAGATCATAAGCAATTTATTACAGGTGAAGCTGCTCATTACTCACCTGAAACAAATGTGACACCATTAATTGAGGGATTCCATTTCAAGTACATCTCTACACTTGTAATTTTAATCCTGATTACTTCTGTATCAGAGTGCAGGTCCCAGACTCACTGCAAAAACAAATTGCCGGTATGAAATTGAGTGGGTTACTGAGTATGCCTGTCACAGGGATTACCTGGAGAGTAAGAGCTGTATTCTGACTAATGAGCAACATGATATCTCCATTGACTTGAGACCACTTACTCAACTTCCAGGTAAGCTCACTATTTTTCTTTTGAGTCTGTGGTGCTACTAATCAGTTTTGTTTCCATATTTGGAGACTGGGAATAATACCCTATCTAGATATTTGGGTCATACCTGACAAGTAGATTTTGGTAGACTTTGTCTGTTCTGCTATAACACTTTTTTTTGTTTATTCAGATTATGTCACACCGTATTTAGCCAAAGATGACAAAGATGAGTATTACTATTACTTGAATGTATGCGGGAAAACTAGTGCAGGTAACTGCAAGGACAGCACGGGATACATTTCATCTTGCCAAGTAAAATTTTTGAATAATCAACAAAAAGTGGCAGGAAGATTTGAGAACCAGACCCTAAGGTATGTATATTAAAAATATTTCCAGGCTCTTTAGCTGTGCTAAGTTACCTGAATGATGATTGTTCTTTGTTTCCTACTTTGACGCCCTTATTTGTCTTGTAAGCAATATTGGATACAAAATGCAAGCATTCGTGCTTGGTGTTGTGTAGGAAAACAGTAACAGTATGCCAAGATGGCATTAGCAAACAGGAGCAAATGGGATTGGTAGGGGCCAATGCCTACACAGGAAGGAAACTTTCACCAACTTTGTCGGAACTGCAGACTGCTGTACTGCATCTTGCCCTTCTTGAGTTTTGCATGCAGTGTGGCATCAGGGCTGGATGTTTTAGCTTTAGCTCATTTGCAAGAATTAATCACGTATTAATCATACTCAAGATTACTTGAGTTCAGGAATTAGTGTGTGTTTAAGAATCTGAGGATTCCCATACTGGGACAATAGCGAAGAGGTTCTTCGCTTAGGTACGATCTTTCATTCTGTATGTATGCATATGGCAGACATGTAAGAGCAGTCGTCCAGGGGCTGTGGCTTCTTCCACCTGCAAAAATAGCCATGAAATAAAGTAATATGAAGAAATGTTCCACTGAGGCTGGAAGCCTTTGTTGCAGTAGAAATATCAGTATTAATGTTGAACAAGCATCTGTCTTCCCTCTTGAGTGAGATGATTAAGTTAAAAAAAAAAAAAAAAAAGTAGAATAAAATATGGCTTCTGTTATGAGGAGAACACTGCGTTATTGCCTGATCACATTTCTATCTAAAACTGACTTTTCACTCAGATATTCTGATGGGGATCTCACTTTAATTTATCCGAATGGGGATGCATGTAGTTCCGGCTTTGAGAGAATGACAGTCATAAACTTTGAGTGCAATGAAACTGCAGGTGAGTATAATCAGCTGTGGTGACTGCTTAGAGTTTGACTTCTGTGCTTGCTGGTAGACCTTATGCTCAAAGGAATGCATGCTTTGAGCCACATTTAACACAAGAAATAAATATTGCTAGAGTAAGCACTAATTTCTGTAGCTTGCAGGATCGTTTTGTACACCATAGTAGCACTGATATGTTAAATTAGCACTGGTGATAAAGAGTATTGAGGCATGAAAATACCTATTCTTCTTAGTCAACAGTTTAACAACAAAATAAATTCTTTTGCTGCACAGGACTTGTGGTTTTTCTGTCTTCCTTGCTCACTGCATTGAGTTCTCAAATATCTCTTGCTTTTTTTCTCTTCCTACTGGAAACCTTATCTCTGTGTATTCATCTTCAATATTAAGGTAATGATGGTAGAGGGACTCCAGTGTTTACTGGCGAAGTGGACTGCACCTATTTTTTCACTTGGGATACAAAATACGCATGTGTTAAAGAAAGAGAAGATCTCCTTTGCAGAGTTTCTGATAAGAGAAAACACTATGATTTGTCACCTCTGATCCGCAGTTCAGGTATGGCAGTGAAAGCTCACTTTCAGTTACTTTTGTTCTGAAACTTCTGTTCTGAATTTACGTGCCATTTCTAATGTCATTGCAATTCCTTAGCAGAACACAATTTGGCTGTCACTTTCCTTGGTATTTTTCTGGGGTACTGGCACCCAGTTCCATCCTCTCAAAAGAAATAATCGCATTAGGAAAGTAGCTGTATCTGTGACTGTCTTGGTTATTGTCGTCTTAAGGGACTCTGTTTTTCTGTGATGAACGGTGTTTTGGAATTGAGAGGCTGGAATGATTAAGCTAGCTGACTTGTTCTTAGTGACTGTCTGTATTTCAGATTCAGCCCAGAACTGGGAAGCTGTTGACAGTAGCCTTTCAGAGGCAGGAAGGAAACATTATTACATCAACATCTGCCATAAAGTGCTGAAGAAAGGAGGAGCTTCCCTCTGCCCAGATACTGCTGCTATTTGCTCTGTAGGTGAGTCTTTTTAAATCTCTGAAGGCTTGGTGTTTCTTCCTTTGTAAATGCAAAAGGTCTGCACTGGATGCCTTCTGTTACTTGAGGAAATGGAAGTTAGGAGCATAATTCCCATGTGCTGCTAAAGACCTCAAAAGACGTGATACCAGTATACTTTCCTAACAGCTGAATGGTATTACACTTTCCTCCATGGCGTGTAGAACGGTCTAGGGAAGGTTGAAAACCAACTTGTAATGTCATGCTTTCTTATGACTTTCCATTTGGCTAGTTAATATTCTCTTCATAGAGTAAACTTTCTAGGGGAAAAAAGTGATGCCTTTGCTCTCCTTGCAGATAAACAAAACAAGAGCAGGAATCTTGGAACATTTGTTTCTTCGCCTAAAAAGGTTGGAGAAAATATTCAACTTATCTATTCAAATGGAGACAGCTGTGGTGTTAACAAAAAAATCAAAACTGTCATCACTCTTATATGCAGACCAGGTAAGAATATCCAAACCTTTTTTTTTTTTAATCCAGTTAAAAAATGGAGATCACTTCATATTCCCAGACGTGAGTGCTAAATCTTAGTATTTGTCTTTGTTTTTCATTTTCTTGTATGCAAAAGTTGAAGGACTATTGTTTGCTAGGATGATAGCAATTTAACTGCAGGTATCTATCTCTGTTCATGTTTTATAAAAGTGTTCTTTGAATATTCAAGACCATTTAATAATCTCTTGAGCTGAGATTTTCAAACAAGGTGAAGGTAAGTTTAAGTGACTAAAGCTCTGTGAATACTTTCAAGTTCTAGAAAGCACTTTCTACCTCTAGATTGTCTTGATAGAAAAGACTGGTTCTGAACCATACATGTATTCATTTACGTTAACCTTTTTCAATAAGTTTTCTCTAAACTGCTTGCATTTTACAGTAAGCAGGAACACTGGCAGAAGCTGTTAATTTTCATCTCCCTATAATAGCCCACTAGTATAACTTCTTCCCGGGAAATAGTAATCTTGGATTTTTGCACCTCAGCCTGAGGAAGCTAAATCCTTTGCGTGCTGACTGTTCAGATCAGGTCATGCACTAGTTCTGATAAACCTGTTGCTTTATAGCCAAGCTCCCAGCTTGCATATCAAAAGAAACTTTTTTGGAGTGTGAGAGAGTTCTTGGGAGCAGACTGAGCAGTACATCCTCACCTCTTGGCTAAACCTGGGGAGAAGGATGCAAAGAACTAGTGTAAGGAATTGTTGATTGTGGTCCTTATTTTCACAGGAGAGGTACTTCATTACTTCTGGTCCCCTTTTGGGGAGAAGTCGGTGTTTGTAGGCTTAGGGTAATAATTTTGGCAGCCTGACTGTACTGAGTGTTGTTTAACATGTTGCTCTTTCAATACCAGGTGATCTAGAAAGCGCTCCAATCTTGATGTCTGAAGGTGAATGTTCATATGCTTTTGACTGGTATACTGCTGCTGCATGTGTCCTGTCTAAAACTGAAGGAGATAACTGTCAAGTCTCTGATGCTCAGGCAGGTATGTGTTTATGTTGGCCAAACTGAAGGGCCTTCAAGGATAGGACTTCTGCCATGGCATTGAGCATTAAGTCCTCTTTCTGTGCAAAATCAAAGCGAACTTGTTGTAAGTCTAAGCATCTAAAACACTGGAGCACAGAGTTTTGAAGTATATGCACATGTTAAAATGAGACCAGTCTGAGCTTAATGCTCTTACTAGTGTGTGCGTGGGGAAGTAGGTGTAACTTGTACTTGACTGTAGTAAATTCATCTATAAGAAAGCACATGCTTCCACTGTCTGAATTTCCATGTTTCTGGAACAATTACATGGAAGGGGAGATACGTTTAGGGGAATGTGTCTGTATAATAACTAGCCGTATGGCTGGTAGAATCAAAATTTGAGAGATGACGGGAAAAACTGTGACTGAATGTTAAGCTGAATGAAATTTTATTCCTTCCCTGTTAGGCTTCTCTTTTGATTTATCACAACTGGACAAGAAAAACGGGTACTACTTAGTTAATACTTCACAATATTTGTTCTACATAAATATCTGTGGCAGTGTGCCAGTCGAATTGTGTCACACACAATCAGCAGCATGCCAAGTAACACAAAGGTAAGTTGCTAGTTCTGTTGCTTGTAATAGATCTCCTGTTGTGTGATGTTATCTAACAGTGACCAATTTGCATGTAAAGTAATTACTACCTGCAGTAGATTCAGATAACTTGCATGTAAAATAAGTGTCAGTGTAGTAATTATGCTGCCAACTATTTCAAGTGAAGTGTATGTGATCTTGCCTGCAATTAGCTTTTGAGAGTGTCCATTGCTCAGCCTTCAGACATATGGTATGATTTTTTTTGGGTGGTCATGTGTGCAGCCAGTTGGACTTGATGATCCTTGTGGGCCCCATTCAGTTCAGGATATTTTTTCTGTGAGTGTTCCCAGAGGGGTTTTAAGCTGTGTATTGACTGCTCCAGCTGTATTAAGCCAACTTGCACTTTGAATTGAAGTCAGCTGGGTTTGAAGAGTGTTCGCTGTAAAGAAGAACTACTGCCTAGGTTAGCCAAGGTCCTAAGGCTGAGTAGCAGCTGCCTTATGTGAGGCAGAGCCCAGAACTTGGGTGTTGCAGCACGTTTCCGTCAGTAAAAATGCAGGCACAGTCCCAATGTGCACAACTACTCTGTAAGCAGCATTGTTCCATCTTCTACCAGCCACATCTAAGGTGTAGTATCTGTGCAACACTTCAGATTCCAGGTCAGCCTATTGCTAGAGATGTGGTGTAGTGCACTCACATGCAATTGTACTTGACTTTGCTTGGTCCTAGGGTATTCTCCAGTTAAGGAGGGTTTGCTGCACCTGTGTGGGGGAAGGTGGTTAGACTAGGTCTGACAGAGCTAGTCTGACATGAAGTCAGAGTAAAGAAACTCTCCTAGACCAAAGCTGATCCTGAGCTAAGAGCATATAAAGGCAGTTTTATTAAGTGAGAAGACTTCTTGTTGTGGAATCCTAGATCTTTGCCATCCTCATGTGGTTGCATGAAACCAGCATGAGCTTGGTGTTCGGGTGTCTGCAGTTTGAAGCCCATTCTTTTCTGTCACTGTTCTAGAGAATGGAGCATTAGTATTCTATGTACCTAAGTAAGGTATAACTTCATTAGCTTCCCAAAGAAGGACACCTGTTCTTGGTTTGTTTGTTTTTGGCAGTCGTTTTCATCTTTAGTTTTTGAACTTGTCTACTCAATCTTGATGAATCCTTTTGTCTTAATACAGAGTATTCTATAAACATACCTGTGTGCCTACTGTTTGGTTGACTTTTCTGTAAGATAACTACATCTGAATTCTGCACAGTCTCAGAGCCTGTTTTTCTTTTCTAGTAAGAAGCAGTTTTGGAGTCTTGGTCTGCCTAATTCCAAACTTTCATATTACGATGGTCTGATTCAGCTGACCTACAAAAATGGTACAGCATATAATGACGAGAAGAAAACACAGCGATCTACTCTCATAACTTTCCTGTGTGACCGTCAGGCTGGAGTAGGTCAGCCTGAATATCAGGTAAGAAGTTACATATGAAGAAGGGAACTCTCTGCATCTGTAAAACGTGCAGGTAATCACTGCTAGGCTGGTACAGCAGAGATTTGTGGATGAAAATAACCATATCTATAAAGCAGACTGCTCAACAAAACAGGTATTTTTCTTGGTGTATCAGCCTGTACTCATCTTGCCTACTGAACAGTAAACTGTTGGCCTGCATCAAGGTTCTCACCTCACTATTTTCTATTCTCTAGTTTCTGGGCCATATAATTACTCGTGCTTTTGATGCTTTTGTATTTCAAATCGTGGGGGAAAAAAAGCCATGTTTCTTGGCCAGAGATCTGAAGTGCTAGGACTGTGCCCTGTAACACAGCCAACAGTAGTTATGTTGCTATGGTTGTTTTTGCAAGTGCTTTTGGTGTTACAGCAGGGAAATAATGGCAAGATCAATGTGAAAATGGACTGACCTGTACTAATCAGTCTGAGAAAGTGCATCCCAAGACACAGGGGGAAATAAACCTAACATACAAAGGAGTAGTGTTGCTTTACATAGTAGTCTGTATGAAAGCCTCCCTTGACCTATTCTGCTGTTTTTTTAGGTAGAAGATAAAAATACCTACAACTTCAGGTGGTACACAGAATATGCCTGTCCTGAACTGCCCTTGGAATGTATTGTGACTGATCCCAACACCATGGATCAATATGACTTGTCGAGGTAAAGTAACGCAGTCTTTTGTGTGAACTTGGCTATTTTAGTTCAGTGTTCTAGCTGATTGTATAACTCTGGATGACACTGGTTTCACGCATAAAATGCACTAGAAAAGTCATCTCTTCTGACAGTCTTAAATGCAAGTATCTTGAAACGGAGATATTTCAATCTGGTATATTGACACCTCCTGAGGTGTAAGTTGACTTTTTGGGTTGGCTTTACTTAACTTGCTTTGACTGTTTTCTACTTTCCTTGGAGTAATTTTTTGTGACACTTAAAAATGAGGGGAAAAAGTTACATGAAATGCAAACTGAAATGCCTTGCAGTTTCTTTCTTGAAACTTAAAGCTAGAGGGAATATACAAATAACATGTGAATCCCAGCATGAACTTTTTCCTCACTCAGTTTAGCAAAATCGGAGAAGAGAGGTGGAAACTGGTATGCCATGGATAATTCAAGACCAAGTGAGCGCAAAAAGTACTACATAAATGTCTGTCGACCACTGCTTGCTGTTCCAGGATGTGACCGACGAGCATCTGTGTGTCAGATGGAATATCGACACGATCATGTGAGTAGTGTTTTTGTCCCAGCTCAGAGCTGATTTGCCCAAGTGATTGAGTTAAAGGGGAGTACAAGATGAGCACGTCAGTTTTGGCCCCTTTGTGCAGCATACAATGGTATCCTGTGCATCCTTAGTACTGGCATAGTCACTGCAGTATGGCAGACTTCTACCAGCCTCTTGAAACACCAAAGCTTTAATTTTTACAAGGTTCTCACTCTCAACTTCTGCTAGTGTTTTTTTAAACTTTCCTAAGCATGACAGATAAGTAAGGCGTGCTCTAAGAATGACTGGAGCCTTCTACATACTGTTTTAAAGAGCTGCACAAATTAAATTGTAGTTATTGCATATGAGGTGTAGGCCTCCCTAAACTCCTGAGCTGTGTAGCTGGTGAGATGGGGATGATTTCTGAGGCACTCTAGGCACCTTAATATAAAGTAAAACTTCCTGGTGCTTAAATGTGTATCTTAAATATAGAATAGGGGAGAAATATGGAGGGATCTCTAGACCTCTCAGTCGCATTCAAAACTCAAGGTAATCTTCTGTATATAAGGTTATTGTGGTAGGTACCATCTTGTTGGGCATTTCTGTAACGGTGCACTTGAATTTGAAGTTGCTGACAGTTTTCTGTATTTCTAGGATTCTTACTATGAAGCCACCTCTATTAGCAATCTTGGTGTTGCCAGCAAAGAATTAGTAGTTGAAAGACCTGGTCACATTCTTCTAACCTATTCAAATGGCTCTGTGTGCATCAATGCTGATGGAAAGATGACAACTTATACCACCACCATCCACTTTGTCTGTTCCAGGGGCACTCTGGTAAGGACAAATGATCATTCAGTTGTTCTATCATAGGAGGCTTTCCATCAAGCGTTTAATGATAACAGACTTCTTGGGGTCTTAACTTTGTTTTTATATCTCTATTTTAAATTAGATGCCAGAGAAACGTGTATATGAGATTCAGTATTTTATCATAAGAAAGAAATAACTAACAACTAATAACCCTAGTGGAAATTGATGCTTCAGGCTAGTTTAATTAGCATGAAAAAGTGCATGAGGAGTTACACATGCAGATATTGCAGATCCCCTTAAGAGGAAGAACATTGTAAAGTGCATCTTCAGGCTGAGGTTTTGCATCTCTGTAGCTTGATTCTAGATGCATTCTTAATTCTGTAAAACTTTTGCGAAATTTTAGACTGGGGGGGAACCACTGAAGCTTGCCTAAACTTTTTCATGATAGCTTGTGAATCTGCAAGTCTTATTCCCCTCACTTGCTCGTCTCCCCAAGACATATGGTAAAAATCTGGGACGTGATGCAGTTACAAACTGTTTTGTTTTTGCCTGAAAGCACTGAAATGAATTGAGTAATTACTATTGCAGTTCCCTCAGCTGACAGTGTTTTGTGGTACTTCATTTTTTTTTTTGTGTACTGTACCTTATACCCCAAACTCTCCAAAACTTAGACTGAAGAAAGGTGTGATATGTGTCTGGGTTCAGTTTTGAACTGCATTTGAATATTTGTATATCAGACTCAGTTCTCCTGACTTTCAAAAATAAAAAGGAGTGAGGAAATTGGGTTGGGAATTCTGTGCTTTTGTAGTAGAATCTTTTAGAACATTGCAATTTTAAAGCAGAATCTCAAACATGGGAAGGTGTTGGCCATTACATTTGCCTTGATTCTGGTCTTTTCTCTGCTATCTGTTTCCAGAGTAGCAGCCCACGGTTTATATCTATTCAGGAATGTGTAATCACGTTCTTATGGGAAACTGAAGCTGCTTGTCCAATTAAGGAAACAAAAGATGATTCTCAGGTGAGAAATCGTGAGACAAATGTGTTCATGGTCTTCACGTGCTATTTTTCTGGCATGTGATGTGTCTGTCGTCTTGATGTGTTTGTGAAGTATGTAACTTTTGGCCAAAGTGGTACAGTGTGCACTCAAGGAAGAATGGCTTGCTATGGCATTGGATGTTTCATTCCCTTATGAGTTTGCTAGTGAAGTTGAATGTATACGTAAGGACTTCTGTTGTTCTTGTTTGTGTACAGATCATCAAATGAGGCTCACTTCTTTACACTGGGCTACTCAATTGCTTCTTGTTCACAGGTCTTAAAGTGGTCACATTAGAGTAGAAGTATCCTTCAATTAAAATTTCTTTGCTCTTAGCTAACCTGGTAGATGACACCTGTTGAACTACGCTTCAATATCTTGATATGACTGTCAGTGGACAACTGTGCAAAAGAATTGAAGTGTTGCTACTGCCAGAGCTGTACTCTGGTTGTCCAAATTAAGTTCCTGCTTCCTAGACAGGATAGGTATATATGTAAATTTCTACTTCGACTCTTTAAGCAAGCTAGAAGTAGAACTTAAACACCAGAAATGCAGAGTGAGAGAATAATGTTGTAATTTTTCTCTTGCAGACCTGCTCTGTGCGAGATCCAAACAGTGGCTTTTTATTCAATCTGCAACCATTAGCTTCAGGAAAAGGCTATATGGCAACAGGAATTGGGAAAAAATTCTTGGTAAGAATTCTGACTGTACAACCTGTTGCTTATGGATATTGCTGTTGTATTTCTTCTGGTCAAGATTAGTGAAATGGAGTTCTTGTACAGTATTTTATGACATTAGATTTGACAAAAAAGTATTGTGCTTGAGAAAAAAATAAAAGGTAACTTGCTTCATCATTTCAAATAGTCTTAAAAGTATAGATGTTATATAGCAAAGCTAAAAATCAGTCTCATTGTAGTGGCACCACAAGGCTATGTATAGACTAATTATGGACTTCGTTGTATAATTATGAGATTATCTGCTAGTGTCAAAAATGGATGGTGAAAGCCTAGAAATGGACTTAATCTATCCATATCAGTGCTCTTAATTTGGCTTGCCTATCTCATTAGTTCTAGGCTATCTACAGATAGTACCATAGTTGTTGTTTTTTGGTTGTTAAACTACATCCTGTACTTCCAGTGGGGAGAACTTGTGGACTGTGTAGTTGCTGTTCCTGTGTAGTTGGTTGTCTTGCAGTGTGGAAGTGAAAGACATCTTGTGATGTTTGAAATCAGGCTTTAACAAGTAAAACTCACTTATACGTAAATGAGTAAATAGGTCTAATTTTTCTGATGTGGTTAACTCTGTGTACACTCATGTTTTTAAAACTTCTAGCTAAACATTTGTGGGCCCATGCCAGATTGTGGTGAAATCAATGGAAAACAAGCTGCTGGATGTGAAGCAGAAAATCTGACATCAGTGAGGATGGTGGAATTGGACAAAACTCTTTATCTGTCTGGTGAGGGAGTTCTAACTCTTACCTACAGAGGTCCTCTTCGTGTGGTATCAGGTGAGTTCAGGAAGTTGTGACAATGTATTAATGTTCTGTAAATGGTCCTCATTCCCTGTCTGTTCATGTTGTAAAACCACCTGTTTGATGTTAATCACTTAAACAGGCTAGTTCATATTAAAACTAGGAAGAAATCAAATCATGAAAATGATAATGGTTCAGTTGTGTTGGTTGTCTGTACAAATTGTTGTGGTGATATCTCATATTTTCTCATTTTCATAGCCATGATGATTTTTCATTGTATAACACATACCAAAACAAGTGATTGAGCCATTGTGTATTTCACTGCTAGAGCTTCTACCTTTCTGATTACTGTAGGATACAATGAAGACAAATACTCCTCTCCACTTAATTGTAATCATGGGCTGTGGAAAAGAAAACTAAACAACTTAATGTGTGCTACTCAAAAAGTATCAATACTTGTTTTCAAGTTATTACACAACCTAAATAAAACCCCACCTTTTGTGTGATGCAATGTAGGGGTTGCTGGTATAACTGATTTGATGTCTTGTGGGTTTTTGTTTCTTCTCATATGTCAGACATGGGGAGCACACTTAAGTGAATGTAATTCTGCTCTTTGAAATGTGGTAATGCTATCTGTCTCCCATTTGGAAAGTTGCTTGAGACTGCTAAGCACTTTAGCACAGGTCTCTAAAGAAGGCTTACACTTTTAATATTCAAGAAGCACATAAACAGAATGTAGTGTTTGCCTAAACAGAAGAAGTGGTTAGAAAATGTTAAAGTCGAGTGTTAGCTTGAACTTCAACTTAAATATTCTTGAGTAAACCAGCAGCAGATAACTCTGTTTTACAGGGACATCAGACACTTTCACTGTGACTTTCATTTGTAATGATTCATATCCTGGAGAGCTTAAGTTTGTGCGTGAAGAGATAAACAGCGTACTGAACATCCATGATACTTTCTTTGAGTTTCACACAGCTCTGGCCTGTGCTCCTGCTCCTGTAGATTGTCAGGTTACAGGTAAGTACCTGGGATTCAGGTGGGCTTTGTTCAACAACTCTTGGAAGGATTAACTGAACACCACAAGCTTCTATGGAGAAGGGCTTTGGGATAACTTAAGGATGCCTGGTCTGAAGAAGTTTGAGGCCTGAGGTCTTCAGATATGTTGTAGAGAGGGAGAGGAAATGAGTTGTTTAAAGCAGGTTTAACTTATAAAAACAGATGAAAAGCTAATATGGAAAGTAAATGCCACTTCAGTCTAACTCTGAAGAAATCAGGTTAAATTTGTATTGCTTGTAGAAAAATCCACCTGTGAATTGTGGAATAATTGCTTGTGGTAGCTAAACCGATTATCAAGAGAATTGGGTTTTAATCTTGTATAGCTCTATCTCTATGCGAACAGTATCTTGTCTCAGTGGATGTCTAATGTGATTCTGAAAAATACCTTGAATTATGTGCGTTCATCAGTGAAACATATCATTTGAAACCTGGTACTATACTGCAACTGTCTAGCAGGTCTTTCAGTTTACTGTATGTACCACATCTCTTCCAGATGCTGCTGGTAATGAATATGACTTAAGTGACTTGAGCAAAGAGAGTGAACCGTGGGTTGCTATAGATACTTCCAAGAATGCGAAGAAACGAACATTTTTCTTGAATGTTTGCAAACCTTTGCCCTCTGTGCCTGGATGCCCTGGTAAGCCAAATGGCAAGCAGTTCTTAAGTTCTGATTTCTGGTGCCAGACCTTGCATGCAGAATGATAACCCTTGTTACTTTAATACAATTTCTTCAATCCTGCCTGTTTAGTTGCTGAACTTCACATACCTCACAGGGGTATAATCATAGAATCATTAAAATTGGAAAAGATCTCCAAGATCATCTAGTCCAACTGTACCTCTACGACCAATGTCATCCCCCTAAACCATGTCCCTAAGCACCAGGTCCAACCTTTCCTTGAACACTCCCAGGGATGGTGATTCCACCACCTCCCTGGACAGCCTGTTCCAATGTCTAAGATGATGAAGTATTGCAGATATTCTCAAACTGAGAGCAGTCTTAATGCTAATCAGGACTCTTGTGTTGAGATGTGTGGAAAAGCACTTGGGGAAAGCTGTTGTGGGGGAGTATTAACAAGTATCTGGACTTTTTTTTTAAAAGGCAAGTTAAATGTTGATGCTTCTTAACTGAATGAAATCTGAATGAGAAGCTTATGCCATGCGTGTCGTACTGCCTTTCTAGACAGTATGATTTAAACATGTTGCTCTAGCCTTCTGAGTCCATAAGGACAGATTAATACAGTTTTAAAGATTTCAGAGAATGTAGAACTGTGACTTGTTCTCTTCCTCAAAGCCTCTAGGCACACAGTGTCTCCCCACTTATGAAAATGTGTCTGCTGTGTTGTGCTTCAGGAGTTTGAACTGTGCTGAACGCTCAAAGCTCTCTTCAAGTTATTTCATTATGTTGTCTTACAATAAAGATAACTTGTTGACAAAGCTTTGAACTAAAATATGTTTTTCTGGTGTTTTCCTGTAGGTGGAGCCATAGGATCCTGTGTGAAATACGCTGATACAAGCAAGAACCTTGGAGTCATTCAGATAAATCCACAGGCTGCTACTGATGGGTCACTAAGCATTATTTACTTGAATGGTGATACGTGCAGAGATAAGCAACGTTATTCTACACGTATAATCTTTCAGTGCGATCAGACAATGGTAATTTTCTGTGCTAGTAGCTATTACAGATTTAAGAGCCTTGACTTACACCATAAACAGTTTCTCTTCTTTTGGAATAGACTGATTCAGTTAGAACGACAGTATCTTGTATGTAGGCATTTCACTTGTCTTTCAACTGCTTTCCTGAGCCCTTTGAACGCAACAGTGAACTGTATTGCAGACAGCTTTGATCAAAATAGGTACAGAAATTTGGTAAGAGACCTTAGACTGTGCAACCCCGTTGAAAACGGATTCTTCATGTACGTTTTGGGACTTGCAATGTAGTTTCTAGTAGATCTCCTTCACATGGCTTTTTTCTTGTAGGGTTCACCAGTGTTTGAGCAAGAAAACGACTGTGAGTTTGTATTTGTTTGGAGAACCTTGGCAGCCTGCCCTGTTCACAAAGCAGAAGGTATGTGTAGTTAAGCTTTCAAGTATCAAATGTGCACAAGAAGTGAATACCTATTGGAGCTACATTTGTTTTCTTGCCCTACAAGTCTTTCTGTAAAAGATGCTGGCTTGTTGTTGAATATATCGAATATATTCAGAGACTTAGTCCAGCAAAGATTCCCAATCTAACAGGAAAAATACTTTCTGGTCAAATCATGGTGCTACCTTGTTAAATCACAGTGAAACTTGTTAGTCTTGCAAATATTGGTAAGTGTTAGATTTCATTGAAATGTGGTTGATCCTGTGCCTGTCAAATGTTTTCTTGTTCCCCACCAAAAACTAGAAATTGTATTGTGAACTTGACTCTCACTAGGCAATGGTGGAGACACCAGAGGGGAGAGTATCAGTTTACAGTTGACTTCAGGACATGCAAGAAGGAATCGCAGGCTCTAGTTCTTATATTCAGTTGGTAGGAAACTGAGTGTGCAGGTATCTTCTCTGCCCTTAAGAGCTTTGTTTTGCAGCTTGTAGATAAGACCTTGTGAATGTAGATAATACCTTCTGAAATATCAGACTTCCTGTAAAGTATCTGTTGCATCTGTACTCAACGTAGTTGACACTGTCAGTCATCTCATGTGGTACAAGGCTACAAGAAGAATGCTTATCAAGCTGCTGCTCTGTAGCACACAAGTACAGTGCAGCATGCTGTTGACGAGAGTTGTGGTTTTGTATCAGTTCCCTCTTCCTTGTCATTCGTCTTGGTATCAGCTTTTTAGGGGATTGAGGAAAGCACAGTAATCATGTGATACGATCTGATCTTTTTAAAATTTTCAAAGCCAAGTGTCACTTCAAACCTGGGGGCTTAATCAGCAGTAATGTTACAGGTGCTTCTCAGCTGATTAAACCCATGAAACCAGATGATTCTCAAACCTTTTCTCTGTTGACTCTGTGTGGCTTTAAGCTCTAGGCAATGATTCCTATATCAGTTATAACCTAACTCTGCAGACTTGGTAACTGTTACAGGAAGATGGAAGACGGACATCTAGGACAACTTTTGCTTCAGCCATGTGACCTCACTGTTCTTTCCAGATAATCAAGCAAGTGCTGGACTTCTAGTGTCTCTGGTTCTGTCCTTAACCTTCAGCCTTGCTGAAGGGAAGAGCCTGTCAGGCCAGGCTGATGTAATTTTTGAAGTACAGTGTAGCTCTTATGTCTTTGTTATTTTTTTATATATAAATTGTATTTGTGCATTAGTTTTATTGTTCTAGGTCTTAGTGACTTCTCAAGACAACCTGATTAGCTGGATTTAAATGGTTCTCTAGTGTCATTCCCATGGAGTGCCAGCTACTTAGCTTTTGTGGCCTTAGTTGTGCCAGGAGGCCTTAGCTGTCTAAATGTATTTGGTATGGCTCACAGATACAAGATTGTATTTTAATTCTTCTCTTTCCTTTAAAGGAGAGAATTGCCAGGTGAAAGATCCAAGGTATGGTCATGTTTATAATTTAAAGCCACTTTCCAATAAAGACATAAAAGTGAGTACAGAGGAGTATGACTACTACTTCAGAGTTTGCGGAGAAATAACAGAAAGCTGCAAACCAGGGGCTCGGGGCGTGTCATCGTGTCAAGTAAAGAAGATGGACAGTACTTTCAGAAAAGTAGCAGGTATGGCACTTGATCAGAAGGAACTTAAAGTGGAAAGAGTAGCAAGAGCTATTAATTTATCACATAGTATGTTTTGTTATACCCTGGTTAATCTCAAGTTTTATGAGATAAAGTACCCTACCATTTATACTTCATGTGCAAATAAAATCTTATGTCTATAGTTATCTTGTCATGCAACTGGGAGTGAGCTCAACGCTACCACACAAACAGTATTCACTAAATAACTAAGTCGTGTTTTAGAGGAAGTCCTAGGTCTTTATATCAATGCTTATTTTATTGTGCCTGTTATTGCTGTGTAACCTGGTTGTCACATGCATGACTGAAATAATGTGTATTTACTGGATTAACTGTTTAATTTTCTCAACTCTTCGCTTTTAGGCCTGCTTACAGAGAAACTGACTTTCAAAAATGGTTTAATAATGATTAATTACACTAGTGGAGAAAAATGTCATAAAATATATGAACGATCAACTGCCATATTATTCTATTGTGACAAGACTACATCAGAGGTTAGTTGCAAAACCAATTCCTGTGCATATACTGTCTTCCAGAGTTGCTGTCATCTTAATGTGTGGCAGGGTAAGGTGAAGAACATGAATTAGCTTCCTTCAGGGACTACTTAAATCACTTGTAGGTTATACAGGAGACATAAAGCTCCCAAGAGGTTTAAAAACAATCCTATTTATGAAAGGTATCTTCCTTATGCCCCAGGAAAGTTAGAGTATGCTGTTCATTTAGGAGATGCCTGCTACTAGCAAAGCCCTTTGAGAGGCTGGGAAACTTGAACAGAAATAAAAGCAGTCCCTTAGTGAGAAATAAAATATAGGATAATGAATCTGTAGAAAATCATGTAGTATATGGCCAGACCAAAGTTACTTGGTTACTTGCAATTTTTAATAGTTCTCACTGTTCTTGTGCTCACCTTCCTGTTCACAAAGAATGGTGCTTAGGGTTTACCTTTGGCTCTTTTCCTTCCTCATGTCACGGAAGATGGCAGTAGCTCCTAACAGTTGCTCTTTAATCAAGTGTGTATGTAGATAAACTTGGGTTTGAGAGAAGCCGTGCTTTGAGCTTTTCAGGCCATACTGTTCAGATCAGAGGCACAGTATGTCTCTAAGGTACTGTGCTAATACAAGTTGCTGGACCTTTTTGAAGCTGACTGAGACCTTTTGGTAGTTTCTATATTTAAATTGGAGAAAGTAAACTCCTTTTTTTTTTTTCTTTCAGCCTGTATTTTTGAAGGAAACTCCAGATTGCACCTACATGTTTGAATGGCATACACAGTATGCCTGCCCACCTGTTAAATCCACTGAGTGTTCCTACAAGTAAGTTGATTCCACAAATGTAAGATGGGGCTGTGTGATGGCAGAAATGAGTACAGCCTTACTGTAACTCTGCAATACTGTCTCTTTAGTTATTGTAGTAATACTTGATAAGTGCGGTCAAATAAAACTCACAGGCAATTGTCCTTAACACGTGGAGTCAGGGTAAATTTCGGCCCTAAGATGGAACAACCTGCTGCAACCCTGCATTTGTGCTTGCCATGCATTAAACTTGTGTGCTCCAGTGAAGACAGAAATACTCTTGCATTGGCTGTAGGCTATGTACGCAGCCAGTTGCTGATGCAGTGATATCTCTGTACTGAATTTGAAGCTTTTGGGGACCAATGAGTCCGGAGCAGAGTTCTTTTCTAGCAAGAGGCTCTGATTGTAGAATTATTAAGATGAAGCTTATTGTAAATGACAATTTTGAAGTTACTGAAATTACTTTTTTTAAATGCTAAATTTGAATTCTTTATGTTACAGGGATGATGAAGGAAACTTCTATGACTTTTCATCTCTGACACGGCATAGAGAGAATTGGGAGGCAATTGCTTTATCTGCATCTACACAGAAATACTATATTAATGTCTGCAAGTCCCTAGTACCATACGGTGCTGCACGTAAGAGCTAAATAAAAATATATTCTAGCTACAGATAGAGGAGGCAAATGGTAGGACAGTACTGCTGGCTCTTCAGAGTAAAAGATCATAAAAGCACATTATGTGGAGACAGTGGTGTTGCTGTGGTGTGAGAGGGAAGGCTAGTTTTTGGGATTTATTTCCACATTTGGTCCATGAGATCTGCTTGCAGGTCATATCTTGATCTTTTCAGCACTTCAGCTCTTCTGTTCTTACACAAAGTCTTCTATAGCTCCTGGAGATTAAAATAGTCTGGAGTAGGTTGTTAATTTAAGACTTTTTCTGTGGCATCTTCTGAGCCTAGTTCCACATGGTGGAGTGGAAGACCAAGCATCAGGCTCTAGCCTTTCACTATGAGTAGAAGTCTGCTTCCCCAGTGCTAGCTGCCACTGCTTTCCTGCGTGAAGTGAGGTGGCTGCTGCTACTTGTGACTGGGGAGAAGGTGGGTGGTTGTGAGTATGATTAGGCATTTGTTTAGAGGTAGAACAGCCATGACATAACTAAAAATGGAGTTTTATTCTAGGCAAGCCAGCCTTAGCAACTTCTGGAGTAATAATGCAGCGTATTCATCTGTACAGGTTCCTGTCCTTCTGATGCTGCTGCCTCCATTGTGGAGGATGCAAAATGTGTAAGCCTTGGAGAAGTGGCTGATGGACCCCGGTGGGAAAATGGCATTTCTGTTCTGAAATACATTAATGGGGATCAGTGCCCAGATAAAATTCGCAAGAAAACAACAATATTGCGCCTCAAATGTGACGAAAGCAGAATAGTAAGTGGGCTTCTCCTGGCAGGGCTTTGCATTTCCATGACTTAGTACCACTGCATCTGTGTGAAGGATGGTGGGACAGTTCTTAACTATTCCCTAGTCTTCTGCAGCTGGTTGGGAGGGAGCCCTATGAGTAGACTATGAAGTAGTACTCGACCTTTAGGTGATGAACAGTTCTTAAGAGATCATTTTGTACAGTCTAACAGTTTTTATCATCTATAATACCTTCAAGTTGTCTGTACGTTGAAGGTGAGCATATTGTGGGGTAGGAAACATAGGGCAGTGCCAGTAGCCAGTGCTTGGTTGCACCTCCGTGTGCCTAGCCATTAAATACTCACTTGAGGCATTTCATTGTAGTGTTTTGGATTTTCTGTTGTGTGGCTAGACTGCCTTTAGCTCTACTCTCCTCAGTTTTATTGCTACAGGTAATGATTTTGGACTGTCCTGTGTATATGAGATAGTTAACGGTTAAATACTGTAGTCTTGGGTTTATTCACTGCTCCAGAATGGGTTAATTCTTAGGACTGGTATTTGACACGAGCTCAGCTAGAGGCTTCAGGAATAAGCCTGTGGCATGAAATCTTACAATATCACTTGAATTACAAGTTAACTGTTAGTGTTTTGTGTTTAGGAGTCAAAACCAGAACTTATAATGGCCATTGAAGACTGTGAATATAGCTTCTTATGGTTCACTGCTGCTGCGTGTCCTCTTAAAAGCAATGTGCAAAATGACTGCCGGGTAACAAATCCTGCTACAGGTAAGGAGAAAGCCCAAAAACTTTGTAGGTGGAAAAGAATTCTGGAAGCAGCATTACTGTTTGTTCTCAAGGGATTTATTAGAAAAGGGTAGTGACTAACAAGCTTACTGGTGGTGGGTAGAAATATCTTGTACTACAATGTTCTTTGGCAAAGATCTGTAGAAAGTTTGCTATATATCTGTTCTGAAACTAGTTTTGCTTCCAATTTTTGGTATGAATTGTAACTGTCTTCTAAGCTAGCGGGCAAGTAGGTGCTAGTTGACCCTCCAACTAAAGAAAGTTGCTAAAAGCTTTTAATACAAAGAAATGTTGTAACTTTGAACCTGCAAATGGATTAAATTACACCCTGTTTTCCCTATAGGTCACCTCTTTGATTTGACATCACTGAAGCGAGAGTCTGGTTATATAATCAGTGATTCACATAACAGAAGAATTGAGCTGAATGTTTGTGCTGAAGCTAAAAGTTCATGTGCTAATGGAGCTGGTAAGCCTTTCATCCCTGTTGTTCCTGTATTTGCTGACTACTGTGTACCTGGAAAAAAAACCGACTACTTATGCCCAGGTTTGTGGTAAATTGCAAGTGGCAAGTTTTACTGGAAACGTGGAAGGACTGAAGAGAACAATTGTATCTGAATTGCTTAGGAAGAGATACAGAAACTGTTCTAAGAAATCAAATGTGGTTCTATCAAATTCCATTTTAAACCTTAAATGGGTTTACTTCCAGACTGTGCCCTTGTGTTTGTATGGATGGGTATCGTTTTGGTGATGAGGGCAAGACTGTAGATGCTGATGCTAAATGTCTTGGCTGTTGTGAAAAGAAAGAGAATATTAGCTTTCAGCTAGAATGAACTGAGAGCACTGACTGCTGTGTGGCGATTGCTGCGTTGACATAATGCATCTCCATTCAGCCTTGTGTCCATGCTTCAAAATCTTGCCAGCCCTCTTTCTAGCTTTCTGTTTTTTGGGTGCTTCTGAAATACCACTAGCAGTTTAACTTGTATTTTAGGATTCTTACAGGCAGGCACCTTAATGAAATTATGTATAGTCAAGGTGATATTTTTGGGTAAATATCTTGGATTTTCAGAGAAGTAATCAAAAGCTATGCTCAAAAGTATGTAGCTATACTACATTCTACTGGTTAATAAGTTAATAAAACCAGTATTTAGTTTGTTTCAGTGCAGCTCAGTTTAATAGTAACTCCAGATAATGTGAAAAAGCCTTTCCTATGGAAATTAGAGTAAGGCTAGAATCTTAAGCTACCTGCTGATAAGTAAGGTAGAGGTGCAGTACAGGTTTGAAAGGCAGTTGCATCAGACTTCATCTGCTTTGTTCACTTTTTTACTGTAGCTGTCTGCATCACTGGTGGTCCAAAACCAATTAATGCTGGAAAATTAAGTAAAACTTTAACTTATGAAGATCAAGTGTTGAAGCTTGTTTATGAAGGTGGAGATCCTTGCCCTGCAGACCCTCAACTGAAGCATAAAAGCTATTTTAGCTTTGTGTGCAAGTCTGATGCTGGAGATGACAGCCAGCCTGTTTTTCTGTCTTTTGATGAGCAGACGTGCACTAGTTACTTCTCTTGGCATACGTCCTTGGCTTGTGAGGAAGAGGTAAGAATTACTTCCACACAGAACACGTCTGTGGGACTAAATTTCTGGGGGGAGGTTATGCATAATAGTGTATGCTTTAAATCCCTTGAGAGATAAATCTCTTCCTCTAGTCCAGAAGTGAATTTCATGTAGAAATTCTGAAAGACTTTTTATTGGTATGTTCAGCAGCGAAGAACAGTAGTTGGCAAACTTGTTAACATGGTGAGTACGTTAAAACTTTAACACTTTAGATCAACCTCTCTGGAATATACTTAGCTGCTTTTCTGTACAGCTGAAGAAAGCCATAGGCAGCTTCTTAGGAAGTAATAGTTAAGATTCTCCAACAGAACAGGCCAATAAATCAGGCTGAGTTGAGGATGGATGGCATTGCTGTGCCTGGGGCTAGTCGTCGTCTGTGCAAGGGACTAAAGGTTAGGCGAGTCTGATCAGTTCTGTTAAGTGCAATGACAATTGTGAGAAACAGAGTTGTGAGAGATTTTTTCTCAAGCTATCTGATAAACACTGAACAGAGGATCTGCCTTTGCTTTGTAACACAAGTTGTGATAACTTGATTTGGTCAACTCTGAATGAACTGGTGTTCCAGACAATACCTTGAGCTATTCTTACTATAGCTAGTTTTAGCTAAACTGTTGCTGGTAACAGGTGCACAGAATGAAAGCCAGTAATAAGAATAGAAGGTTGAATGGTTTTGTTCCCTGAGCCAGAGGGTGAATTAAGGTCTCTTTAACACCTGAAAGTTACATCTTATGAATGTTTAATCCTTCTTGTTACTTTGAATACTTCATGGTGTGACCATCATTCTCTGACAAGTTGTTTCTGCCTCCCGTGACCACCTCAGTTTTATTATAGGTCTCACCATCATTTAGAGAAATGCTTTTCTGGCTCTTTTCACTGAAGGAAAATGTCATGTACCCACTTCCAGTCTTTTATAGGAGTTGTGCAGCACACAGCTCTGGTTTCCTCTCCAGTAGTATGTACAATACATGCTCAGATTAAAAAAAAAAACAAACATAGAAACCATTGTTTTCTAAACTATGAACGTTGATCAGTTATCACTTGTGTTTCTGATCACTTTTCAGTGTATCCATAGTGACCCTAGTTTGTTTCAGAGTGGCAATGGCTAGGTAGCAATAATGGTCTCTACTGAAATGAAATAAAAACAGAACCTAACAAAACTACCAGTATGTTGAACATGAATAGACTCCCCAGATTTCAAGTGTCAGTGAGCTTATGCATGTAAAAAGTTTCCTCAGACCCCGTTTCAAGCAGTGCTCAAGCCACGAGGTTGCAGTGCAGTAACTTTACGTTGTTACAACCCAGCTTTTTATTGGAAGTGGTCCTCATCTTCCCCACAACATTGAATAGGAAGGAAGTGTAGGATCCACTGATCACTGTAGTGACTGTATGTTGGAGGCTGCATTCCAGAGCTTTGTTCTGATGTTATTTTCATATGGACTCATTCCAGAAATATTTAAGAGCTTGACTTTTTTCATATGTAGCTTGTAGGCACTTAGTATCTATAACTAAGCAGAAGTCGTCATAAATGCTGCCTTACTTCAATAAAACTTCGAACTTTTGAACGTAGCTACATTTCTCTCTGTGAAGGAGAGGATGATTATCAATAAGTTAAACAAAAGAATAAAAAATAAAATATGCTTTCTCATAGGTGAGGTGCTCAGTATTGAATGGCAGTTCTGTTATTGACTTGTCCCCTTTGATACATCGCACTGGGTATTATGAGGCGTTTGTCGATGAAGATGTAACAGAAGTTTCTCCAGACTTCTACATCAATATTTGTGAGCCTCTCAATCCTATCAAAGATGTTAATTGTCCACCTGGAGCAGCTGTTTGTATGGTTCCTGTTAGTGGACCACCAATAGTAAGTATTATGCCCGAAATCATGGGAACATGCATTTCCTTGCTAGTTTATAACAGTATCCCTGACTAGAGACCTGATTTGAGCAATAGGCTTGGCAATGGGATAAATAAATGGGCTGCAGAATTAAAATACTCTATAAAATTCCCTTTCTTTGCTTTTCTATGAAAGTGTTTACTTATTCTGAGCTCCAATGATTTTTTGGGTGTAGAGAGATTCCATGCCCTGATGCGTATGAACAACTACTACAGAGAATTTCTGTGTATAGCTGCATGCCAAGCACTGACGCTGGGAAGCAGAATGTCTCTTAGTCTGCTATTCAGTGGTGCAGAAATAGTGCAGTTGATTCTATGATAGCCTGTTTGCAATATGAAGGAGGATGTGTCTTAGCATGCTCTGAAACATGTTCAGTATTTCTAAGAACTTGACAGCTGCACAGTCTTAACAAGACTGTGACAGGATATTGGGCAACTTGTCAGTGTTATATGTCCTCAAGAGACTTTTTGGAGGCTCTTATATCTAAGGCCTTATGTGCATCTTCTATAGCTTGCAAAAAAAGTTGTGATGGTTTTTCATGAACTTCCACACTGATCTGGGGAACTTACTCTTTGCTAATACTACACAATTTTCAAATGTTGGCATTTTTGGCACAATGATTTTTAAAAAAGAATCCACCCTTAAGATGCAGAATCTTCCTGGCTTTTATGGCTTTTGTCAAGCTTAGCTAAAGGGTGTTTTGAACTGTGCAACTTGCTTTGTTAGGATTGAAATCTAGTTAACTGTTCTTTAAGTAAAGAATGAAGTTTTCAAAAGTGCATAGGAATTGCGCTCCTATGTCAGCTAAACAGATGAATCTCTGAACTAATCTAAATCTGAGTTGATCTGAAATCTAGATTTGTTACTTTTGTCTTACAATGTTTTTGCTTGTGTAGGATATTGGTCGTGTTACTGAACCTCCAAAGCTAAAAGAGGCAGTAAATGAGGTTTACATCACTTACACCAGCACTACTCCTTGTCAGATAAACAACAAATTGAACTATACTTCTCTCATTGTATTTCATTGCAGCCAAGGAACTGGTCTGGTAAGACATCTATTAAATTAATGTTGATATTGGAGTGCAATGAGAAGTGGGGAGTAACAAGTATTAACTCTGCTTAGAGCTAAATCAATTGTTTGTTTCCAGCATGTAAGGATGGTCTTGTTTCATATAGTTGAGGAAGGAATATGCTTAGCATTTGTGTTCTAAACTAGGCAAAATTTCATAGAGCGTGAACTTTAGGCTTGAAAGTATCAAGTTGTGATGGTTTCAAGGATCAGATTCCACTGAAGTAATGTACTGATAACTTATTGTTGGCATTAAGCTTAATGTTGTATTGTACTTTGTCTGGGTCCAAAAGATTGAACTTGTACCATAAGCTAAAACAAGAACCAGTGTAGCTTTTTGTAAAACTATTATGAAATACTTTACCTGTGATGTATATGATTACAGAAGTAGTTACAACTTAAACTTGCATTCAGATGCTGTGTTTTTCATTGACACCCGAACAATTGAAGCTGCATGGTGCTATGAATTTAACATTCCCTGAATTTTTTGAATACTTTATGAAAACAGCAAAGAAGCACTGGGTATATGTGACACACCAGATCTTGTTAAAGATACTTAGTGGAACTGTTTTCCATCCCATCAATTTTCCATCAAGATAGGAGATGAACTGAAATCCTAGGTGGCTCTGACTACTACACAAGCCACACTACTACTTTCCTTTAAAATAGGATGATAAAGGAACCAGCATTCCGTCCATACCTCAACTTTGTTAATTTTCTTAATGTTTTCTGATGTGGAGAAACAAAAGCTTCACACTTCTTTTCCTGCTTGCAACCAAGGTGAACATCAAAATCTTGATCCTAATTATAATAAGAAAACTTGCCTACTTCAATTACTATTTGTTTTCTGTAGGTAGGTAGAAAGTTCTTCACCTACAGCTTTTTTGGTACTGGTTGCAATATTAAGGTATGGAGTTTGTCCTACAGTCCGTAAAACCTAATCAGTAATAATTGAGGTGAACTGCTGGAGGGAAGAGAATAATGCAGAAAACAACAAATTCTCCACAATTAAATCTAATCTTTTTCTGTGGTTTTTGGTAACAGGGCAAGCCAAAGATGATACGGAAACTTGACTGCAGTTTTGTGTTTGAGTGGGAAACTCCAGTTGTGTGCCCAGATCAAGTGAAAACTTTGGGCTGCTCTGTGACTGATGAACAATTACACTATACTTTTAACCTGACCAGCCTTTCTGGAAGATCATTTGAGGTAAAGTCTTCTCAGAAGGCTCTTCTAAACTTCCTGGAATGTGAGAAGAGGCTGGAGTGTGTGCTGCAGCTGTGGTCAGTGTCAGTGGTGGTTTGCCTTTTGACAGAGGGAGTAACATTAGAGCATTGCCTTTCAATGCTTTTGAGGGGGAGGTTCATGAATCTACTGTTGGGAAGGAAGGAGAACTTTACACTGAAGGGAATCTTGATTTGGCCTTGAACACGAAGGCATGTCTGCTGAATGTGCTGTGTCCTTGGGCCCATGGGTATACTTACCTGCAGCTTTGCTGCATAAATGAAGGCCAAACTTGCAAGATTAGTTATCTGCATTATGCAAGGACTGCATGAGACGCAGTTTATAAAGCACTCTTATTGTTCTCTATAAGTATTGACTTGCAGGCTTCAAGAGGCAGCCTTAGAATCATGGAATCGTTTGTTAGAAAAGACCTAATTATCTAGTCCAGCCTTTAAAGCCTTGTTTCTGATGTTTCCGGGTGTCCACACAGGTACTTTCTGGATCCCAAAGTTACCATGTTAGTGTATGCAGTAAGGCAGCAGATGTATACCAGGGAAAATGCAAAGATGGAGCAGTGTGTCTGACATCTGAAAGTGGTGTGTCATCCTTTGGAAGCCTAAAAGAAATGAAAATGGACTATAGCCGCCAGGATGAAACAGTCATCTTGCAGTATACAGGGGGCGATCGGTGCCCTCCAGGTGAGACTGCAGCAGAGCCTATTTACATAAAGAGTTGTTGGCTTTCTTACTCTTAAATCTCAGCTTTGTTGCTAAGGGAGGGAAGGAACATGTATTTTGCATGCCATAGCAGAAACATGGTTTTCAGTCACGTGCACCATACTCACCTGCAACATCAATGCTTCTCTTTTGGAAGAGAGTGCAATTTTTCTGTGGGGGTGATCATAGCTAATTGTATGCTACATCTGAGTTTTCTAATTGGATTTTGACTCGATGTTTCAGTACTTGTTGTCTGCCTCTGCACGTGACTCTTCTTGAATGGTGTTGATGTGCAGGCTTTGGATATGGTCCTGGATCTAGATATGCCTGCTTTTTCACTGCATGTTGTTCAGAGAGCATACCTTTCTTTCTCAGTGACTGAAAAGGGAGAGCTCTGTGTGTTCCCCTTCAAGTACAAAGGGAAGAGTTATGAGAAATGTATTATGGAAGAAAAGAAGAGGCCATGGTGTGCTACAACTGCAGACTACCAGGGAGATGGAAAGTGGGGATATTGTGTTAATGGTAAGAACTTTTTATATCTAATACATAAGGCTCTGAATTAACAGTGTGAGTTGGTCATTATCGGGCTGGGCCGAAGACCTCTGATGTAATGTAATGAGAGGGGTGGGAGTAGGCAAGATAAGGAATCTATGGAACAAACCTAATTTTACTTAAGTGAATTAGAAGACCAAAGTTCATGCCTTTAGATATCATGGTGATTCAAAACCATATGTTCAAGTGCTGACTGCCTTGATGGACATCCCTCATCTTGGAGGGAGGAGTTGTACAACTTCCTGGAAAAAATTGCATGGGAAGTTAACCTAGGGAAGGAGGTTGCTAGGTGAAGCATGTATGCTGCTTCTCTCTCTGAAACAATACCTGAATAAAATTTCTCATACCTCTCAATTGCTACACTAAAATCCATACACATCTGGAAGCCTCTTGCAAAATAATTTTCTTCCAACCTCCCTTCTTATAGCAACTGCAAGAAGGGCGTCTACCATTATTTTCGTATGTGATGAAAATGCTGGCAGTGGGAGGCCATACCTTATGAGTGAGATGCTGGGCTGTGCTGTGACGTTTGAATGGAAGACACAGGCTGTTTGTCCTCCGAAGAAGATGGAGTGCAAGTTTGTTGAGAAACACAAGACTTACGACTTGAGAATGCTGTCTTCTCTGACGGGCTCATGGATCTTCTTCCACAATGGAAACTCGTGAGTAATGAACAAGGAGCAGCCTGCTGCTCAGTGTAACTGAAGTTATAATATGGCAAAGTACTTCTGTTCAGGTCCGTGTTCAGGGTTGTTTAAATTTCTGACAGCATCTTAAAGCTGTAGATGCTTAATGTTGTATGTAGACCTTGGGGGAAAAAAAAAGGCGCAAAGGGACCTATTTTATCTGAACAGGATGAATGATTATGTTCTTCGTCATTACCCTTTCTCTTTATTGGTATCTACTTAAAGAATGAATAAATCTAATACAAAAGCTTTTTAAAGGCTTTCTGCTCAAATTATCTTAAAGTAATTTTGTAGCTTAAATGCCGTTTTCTAATTCTTAGTTATATTGATAAAAAAAACTTAATGTTTTGTTTTTTCTCTATTAACTCAAGCACATGTTGTCTAAAGTTCAAGAAGGGCCTAATCTCCATTTGCCAGTATCAACCTAAAAAAATGTAAATGTCAGGAAGTCATCAATCTTTCCAGTCTGACCCACTTGGTTAACAAAGAAGTTGAACTGGCAAGCATAAGAGAATCTAATTCAAAAATTTGCATCTAATTCTAAAATTACAGTAAACTGTAGGTTAACAAAACCCTAACAAAACTGTAATGCTCCTAGTTCTTTTAATCTTATAAAACTTAACTGGTATAACTTCGAAGAGCCTTAAACTGAGAGCGCTACAAGCTCTATAGCTGAGAGAAAACTTGGGTATTCCTTGTCTTGGTTCAAATTCCTACTTTCGGCTTGAGTCAAAACTAACCAGTGAACTAATCTGGTAATCAGTTTCTCTGTACAGTCGTTTACTCTAAAATGATAACTAAGAGTAACCTGCTAAGTGTTAATGTGTTTTGTTCCTTCAGCTAGCTTGAGTATTTGATCTTTCAATGTGGCTAGCTCCTTGCAAAGAATTTACAAAGCTTATATTTCATCTTGACAGTTGAGCCTAAAGAAGTTTTTTTTTCCTGCCGTGTTTTTTGTTTAGGTACTATTTGAATCTCTGTCAGAGGGTGCATGAAGGACCCACAGGCTGCCCTGAAAGAGCCAGTATTTGTAGGAAAAGCAACAATGGAGATGTTGAAGTTCTTGGGCTTGTTCATACACAGAAGCTGAATGTGACAGGTATAATTAACTTTTGTTCCTGTAAGGAGCTGAGAGAACTAAATCGGACAACCTAGCTGTAACGGCTCTTAAAGGATTCTATTTAACTTTGAGATACTTTTGCCAATGCGTCCTGATTTTTTTTTTCTGTTTAAAGAGAACAACACAAAATTAAAAGTGGTGTTTAGGCCATGAGAAAACATGAAAGCAAATAAGCAGTGCTGTAATTAAAGCTGTAAGAGGTGAATTGTCTGTCTGAACATCAGGAAACACTTTCTGTGAGGATGACTGAGCACTGGCATAGGTCGCATGGAGTCTGTGCAGTCTCTCTCCTTTCAAAGCAGTTTGGACATGGTCTCAAGGAAGTGACTCTAGGGGACCCTGTTAAACAGGGAGTTGGATAAGATGACCTCCAGAGGTACCTTTCAACCTCTGACCGTGGGAGGGGAGAATTATTTTTTGGTTCATCCTGTTTTGAAAAACTTGTCCTATGTCTGCTAACGCTTCCAATTAGAGCAGCATGTGAGAGATGACTAAGTGGCTTCTCTCCTAAGAAAAGGAGTAAAAATCCCAACTTTATTCAAAGTTTTCAATTTAAATAAAGAATCTTTTTAAAATTGCTGTTAAGTTTCTGAAAATGAAGTCTTCCAACCAGCTACAAAAAAAGGAAGTACTGCATTTGTTAGCTGCCTGAGTTTGCTTATAAGCTGTTTACTTGCTTTTAATATGTCAAAAAGGACATGTTAAATATAAATGTTAATTATACCCATGCTGACAACCTGAACATAAGGTACTATTTGAATGCAGAAGTGTTGGAGGAGTGACTTTTAAATGATCATTGTGAAAGCCTCAAATCATACAAGTACTGTTAAATGATCTGTGGGGTGGAGGGACCTAAAAGTTAGTCTAAAGTAATGAAGTCTGGAGAATGAACAAAGGAAATTTGTCAGTTGCTTACAAAACCCTTGCATCGCTATTTCTCTTCTAGGTAATATAGTGTATATTAGTTATTCCAGTGGGCAGGAATGCAGGAAAAACAAGAAAGTAACAACAGTTATAGAACTGAAATGCGCAAAAACAGTTGGCGTGCCCGTGCTGCAGAGGTGAGTAACAAATTAGCATACTGCTGACTGATCTTCATGATTTCTGTTGGACCTCTAATAACTAAGTCTCAGGACAGTGACCCTCTATTTTGTTGGACGGCCCCTAGAGTAATCTTGGTCTGTGTTTGTAAGACATGGATCTCCTGAAGCTTCTGTACTCGTTCACTTTCATAAATAGCTGTATTCTGTGTATCTTAAATTGCCTGGGCAAAAATCTAGGCATTCCACTCCTGAATTAGGCTGGGATGCTGTTACGTTGTCAGTTGTAGTATAACTGCTCTTAGTAACTTTGCTCCAGATCTATTTAGTAGACAACACTTACTGTAGATAAGCAATTTACATAGTAAAACATGTTTTTACTCCATTACTTAACCATACCAAATCTTTCTTGTTATATCAGTACAGATTATTTAACTACATGCTGTCTAGACTGAGTTATATGTGCATGATCATGAGTACTAAAAAAGCTTGATGGCTTTTTGCAGTCTTGTTTTGGTTGACTGTATATTGGCTGTAGAATAAAGAAACTGAACAAGAGGCTGTGCCTGAGTCAAAGAAGTAGGCAGCAAAATCTGACTAGCTTGTCCCAGCCAGATAAAGTGCAGAGCAGTAAAGCTGCCAAGAGCAAACTCGCATGTTAGTTAGCTACAGTATTTAAATAAAACCCTGTGATGTACTGTGTGAGTTCTAGAACTTTTGAAGCAGGGAGTTTAAGTGAAGTCAGGTGACTGCAGTCTTGTAACTCAGATAAGATCAATGTAACTCAGGTAGGTTTTTTAGTGCTTATTATTCTAGCTTACTCTCTGCATGATGCTTAAGCAGGAGATTCCCATACATGAGCAAATTGCTGTGTCTTCTCTTACTCAAGATATTAAGTGCTTGTTACTCTTTGCTGGAATAATCAGTTATCTGTTTGGCAGGATTGATGAAGAAAACTGTGTTTACTACATCGCTTGGGACACACGTGCAGCTTGTGCTGTGAAGCCACAGGAGGTGGAGGTAGTGAATGGAACAGTTATTAATCCTACAACTGGGAAAAACTTTTCTCTAGGGGATGTTTATTACAAGTAAGTTGAAGACCAAAAACAAAAATAATAAATAAAATAAAAATATAGTTCTGTACAACTCTACTGCAAGAAAAGAGCTTGGTATAATGTTCCAGTTTGTCTTAACAATTCCTAGCTGTAAAGTGGGAATTTGCTGACAGCCTTGTACCAGTGGCTGAACTAAAGGTCTGGTTGCTACTACAGCTTACAGCTGGGTTTAAAGCTTTGAGCATGTCCTGGGGTATTCAAGACTAATCTAAAGTCTACACATACACCATCTTGATGTTAGAGTTCTTTATTGTGGGTTGTTGTTCTTTTCCATAACAAGTAGACACTAGATCATTCTCAGAGATACTGATTTTCATCTACGGTACTCTTTGACTCTTTCAAAGCACCTTTCTTCCTGCTCAGCAGATCCATATGCAAGCCAGAACCCATGCTTTAGTAACCTTAGAAGCGAAGTGGTACAGCTCTGGAGGAATGTTCAAGCATGACTGAACTCTGGACAGGCAGGGAAAGGCAGTTACACTCTACTAACACTGCACATAATTCTGCTCCAGGAACTCCTATAAATAACTATATTTAACATCAATTCTAGTGTTATGGAAGGAAACCTGTCTGTAGTAGTGTTATGGGAAGAATAAACTCTGCCTGCAGGGCACAATTCAGTAGTGCGCATTGAAGAGCACAAGATTGGTGTAACTGAGCAAATGCATTTTGAATAGACCTGCTGTGCATTCATGTTTCTCTGTGCTTATAATGTTATCAGGTAAAATCAAACATTCCTGGATGAGGGAGTAGAAGAGGTCAGGATGAAATGAGAAACTTGGTGTAATGAGAGATTAGTGAAGTCACATTTGATCAAGCTCAGTCTTCAAGCAGGTGGCTAGAACAAATAACTCAGTCTCAGAGCATTTTTAGTTTTGCCAGCAGCAAGGAGGGATATGACTGTAAGTGGCAGTTGGGTAGCACTTGGGTAGATGTAGTCGCCCTCCTGGCGAAAGCTTAATTCACAAAAGCTAAGACAGGCTATTTATTATAACTACAGAACACTCAATATGGATTTCATGGTCAGTATGCTAGCAGTGTGAGAGCTGCTGAATCATACTTCTGTATTCAGTTTAAGTGCTCATGCTCCCATTGAGGACGGTATAGCTAGAAGAGTTTGGTTTTGGTGCGTTCTCAGAAGGCTTTATGCTGAATATAATACTTGGTTGTAATACTGAAGGAGGAACCCTCTGCCCTGTGTCTCTTCTGTCTGATGAATCTATCACTCCAACTTGATTTGGAATCTGCTTGAGGTAACAGGTACTGCTGTTGCCAGTCTTAAGTCTTGGAAATTACTTAAGTCTGAGTTTAGACTTAGTATAGACCTACCCTCTGTTCTCCTCAGGTTGTACACAGCTTCTGGTGACATACGGACAAATGGAGATAAATATGTATATGAAATTCAGCTTTCTGGTATAACAAACTCAAGTTTCCCAGAGTGTTCTGAAGCTAACATCTGTCAGGTTAAAACTAATGAGCGTCGTTTTCGGAGAATTGGATTTGCCGAAAAAGCTAAATATTACGTTGAGGGTAAGTACTTGCTCGCTAGCTGTAATTGCTTGATCTTCATTTGAATTGTTTCATTAAAAAGTTCTTTTTTCATGACATCTGTGCTAAACCATTTCTGTAAAGTTGTCCAGAGTCTCTCTTCCTAGTCTTAAACTAAAAGAGGGTAAATTTATATTAGATACTTGGAAGAAATTCTTTGCCATGAGGATGGTGAGGTACTAGAGCAGGTTGCCTGGAGAAGCTGTGGATGCCCCATCCCTGGAAGTGTTCAAGGCTGGTTTGGGTGCTGCTTTGAGCAACCTGTTCTAGTGGGAGGTGTTGCTACCTGTGGCAGGGGGTTGGAACTAGGTGTTCTTTTAAGGTTCCTTCCAACTATTCTATGATATTTATAATTTAGGCTGCTTCTTCCTATTATGTGAGGCCAGTTGTAAATGTGGCCTTAGCAGTAGATTTTGGGCTTGACACTTGCTGAAATATTTCAGTAAAAACAATATAAGACGAGACTAGGTTTCCTGTTTTCCTCTGCTTGGGCTGTTCCACCTAGCTGCTTTTCCCTGTAAAGAGTTTAGCTCGCTATTCCACAGCAACTGGGTGGAATGAGCTATATGCAAGTATAAGCTCACCTGCAGGTGCTGCAAAATGTGAGCTTTTACTGCAGAACAAATACATGTGTATTTGCATCTGCACTCCACAACTTCTTAGGGTATAGTTCTCTTGGCTGTTTTCAAGGAATTGCTAAAATAAGGTGTTCTTCTTGTTTTAGATGATGACTTGGATGTCATATTTTCATCGGACTCCAGATGTGGTAAAGATAAATCAAAGTTTGTCTCCTCAACAATTTTCTTCCACTGCAGTTCACATGTAAAGGAAGGCATCCCTGAATTTCTTCACGAAACAGCAGATTGTCAGTATTTATTTACCTGGTACACATCTGCTGTGTGTCCACTAATGTGAGTAGTTAACTGTTTTCTTAAAGTAACCCTTCTCAGCTAAAGGCTTTTTTGCCTTTACTTGACAAAGTAATAGGGTGGGGAGGTGGGGGACAAGCTTTTAAAAAAAAAAAAAAATAAGAAAAAATACAGTAAATGGAACTAGTGTCCACGTGTGTAATGTTTGGTGTATGGCAAACATTTATTTAGCAGTCAAATTGATCTGGATCTAAAAGCTTCCTGTTTGCAGTGGAAATAATAGAGAGGTATGGTAGGATTTATTACTGTTCTTCCCATTAAGTAAAACTTACTGTAGCTGAGAACATGCTGTTTCACGTTCTTGACATCAGGAGGGGGTTCTTCACAGAGAGGGTGGTTGCACACTGGAACAGGCTCCCCAGGGAAGTGGTCACTGCACCGAGCCTGACTGAATTTAAGAAGAGATTGGACTGTGCGCTTAGTCACATGGTCTGAACTTTTGGGTAGACCTGTGCAGTGTCAAGAGTTGGACTTGATGATCCTTAAGGGTCCCTTCCAACTCAGGATATTCTATGATTCTATGATTACTGAGAGGAGTAATGAGTATTTGGATTTTTGTTTTCTTTGCCTTATTGCCTGGAAAAATTGAAAGCCAGAGCAAAAACTGTCTATCTGCCTACTTCTTCAGGCTGGAGTATAAAAAATCATTATATGTCATAGAAATAATGATGTATTTCTGCAGTGAATTGATCTCCTTATTCTACAGGAATTGAACTCTTTATTTTACAGGTCCAGAAAGGAATAATGAGGTGACAGGCAGTGGTTTAAAAGCAAAATGATGCATCTCAGTGCTTACCTGCATTCTTGACGCTGCAGGCAGCCTTGCTGCAAAGAATGAAATAGTTCTAGGACTGTAATTTTGTAGGTGCTAGCTTAAAAGCACGAGGGAACTGTTCATTCTGGTGTAAGCAGGGAATTATCTGTTAAGGCAGTCTAGTCTGTGCAGTGCCACTGTCAGATGCAGCAAATAATTGCTGTAGCTTCTACAGCTTGCTCAGGTGCAGGTTTAATTATTTGAGTGGATAGCTGCTGCTGTCTAAGATCTGGTGTCTAATCACACACTTTAGTAATTGCACACTTTAGTCTTGACTGTTATCTTAATTTTATGCACTGCTTAAAAGCACACCAGAATGTAGGCACAGTACTTATCTTTGTTTTTTCAGTGACTTACTTAGAATACAATCCCCTAAATTCCATTCTTTATAAATTCTGACAGGCTGGTATAGTATTTTTAATTTAAATCTGTTCCTAATCCAGTTTGATGCAATTTGTCAGTAGATCTTAATCTTCCTTTTCTTCTCAATTTGTTATTAGGTCAAACAGTGTTCCAGGAAGCCGTGAGGGCCAATCTGATCAGGAAGCCCAAGTACATAAAGGTCTTTCAAGGAGAAGTCAGGCCGTTGGTGCTGTGCTGAGCGTCCTTCTGGTTGTTCTTACTGCATGCCTGATAATCTTGCTGTTCTATAAAAAAGAAAGAAGGTAAGAAATGATTGGGAGGCTCTGAAAAATTTTGGTAGGACAATTTGGCTTCCTCAGTGAGGGGGAAGGTTTTTTTGAAGACTAAAAAAAAAAACCTTTTTTTTTTTTTTAAGACCTCTTTTTTTTTGAGACTAAAACACCTCTGGTCTGTATCCACCTTGAAGCTGTGCTAAAGGGTGAAGATGTAATATTCAGTCCATGATGCTGTAGTAATTAGAATGGTTTAGGGTCAAATGTTGCTACACGACAGCTTACAGCGTGCCTGGTAAAATGCTTTGATAGAAATCCACTGAAATGCAAGGGCTATTGAGGAGAATATAGTCTTTCTAATGCAGTGTTCTTCTTTCTCTTTAGGGAGACTGTAGTGAACAAGATAACAAACTGCTGCAGAAGAACATCAGGCGTTTCCTACAAATACACAAAGGTAACAGAGTGGCAAAACCAAAGATTTTGTTTCTTGTCAAATTTTAATGTGAAACTCTTCTAATGAATAGATAAAAACCTTTAATTTCCAGTTCCTTCAGTGAATGGAAACAAATGCATGTGGCTTCAGGAAAGCTGTGCAGCGAACTGTCTGCATTTATATTGTAAGATGGGAACCTTTACCATTTTAGAACAGAGCTGAGGAAATGAACAGTCCATAAATAGCCAAATAACAAATCTGCCAGAAGAGAGTACGCCTCAGACACAGTAAAGCAATAGTAATACCGCAAGAGTGTGCTGATAACTATCTCAGTCTAAATTAAACCTGAGGATGTGTGGAGTGGGTATGAAAACTGGGGAGATCGATGTATGTAGAAGAGTCTAGAGTGCTATATGAACATCTTGTTTTTTTTCTTGCAGATAAACAGTGAAGAAGAAGAAACTAATGAGAATGAAACAGAGTGGCTTATGGAGGAAATCGCAGCACCAAATCAAAGAACAGCAAAAGGAGTGCAGGAGAACGGTCATGTTACTACCAAGTCTGTTACATCTGAAGCTTTTACATCTCTCCGTGTGGATGACTTGGACAGTGAGGATGAAGTGTTAACCTATTCCAGATGTAAAGATTCAGACAGGAAGAGGACTAGACAAAAGCAAGCACCCACAAAAGAAGCCACCTAGCTTTGGCAGTGATGACAAAGCTTACTTGCTGAATGGGGGAAGGGAAAGGAAAACAAAAGCCAAGTCAGGTCAACAGCAGGCACAGAACTCTACAAATACAGCATCATTTCATGATGATAGTGATGAGGACTTGTTGAATGTTTAATTCCTTTTGTGCCTAATCAAATATATATAGAGAGATTATATATAAAATGGGACAACACTTCCAACCAAATATGAGGACTTCAGCCTGAAAGATTTTTCTGAATTTTGCCTTTAACAAGAAACCATTGAAAAGGGAAGAAGAGAAAGATGGAAAGATGTATTGGTTGTTTACAATGATCTGTTCAGTAATGACTGGATGTCTAGCATCCAGTTAGCTGAGTTATGTTGACTCTCTCTAGCCAGGACAACTTTTTTAAGCCTCAGCATAGACATTAAATGCTTGCTTAAAAAGGAACCTTTCAAAGGACAAGATTAAAGCTGAATTAAGTCCCTGGCTCCTGAGATTCAAGTTATCTGACTACTAGCATTTTAACTCCTTGTATTTATTGATCCTCACTACTCAGGTTTGCTTATAGCAACGTGTTCTTCCTGCCGGCAGGGTATTATTCTATGGGTTTGCCCTTCTATGGGTTCATCCATTGTAAGACAAGGAAAAATATAACTTTTCTGTGTTGGGATGATTTGATGTAAATTTTAGAACTGGTCTAATTTATCCTGTAAATTTGAGTATCCGTTCTAATTTAAACAGATCATTGGTTCAAAGGTATTGACTGAAAGGTACAATTCTGTATAGCTTTAGCCTGGAATGGTTGCTGTTCTTTGCATGATATTTTCTAGGTACTGGTCATATGACTGACTTCATCAGTATTTGCCAGAGCAGCAGCTGACAAGCATCCAAAGATTTTTTTTTTTTCCTAGATCATGGCTGAACTAGACTGACTACACAGAACTTGAGTTTTCAAGGTCAGAGGCAGAACTGTTAGAATACAGCTTGCACTGCCCAGTTTGTCATCACCCAAAAAGCCCAACAACCAGAGGAGCCCTGGTCTGCATGATACCTCTCTGGCATTCATTATAAGAAAAGAATTGGGATAGTCTTTTCTGATAGTGTAAGAGCTAGATTTTAGGCTGAGGTCCTGGCCGTGGTCATTGATTTGCAGTGTTGCTGGCAATTAATGGAAGTCAAATTTCTTCTAGCAGTTTTGCTCTTTTCCAGGTGTTTAATTTATGGGCAATGATAGGGTTTCAAAGAATTTTACAAATACATGTGTTGGTCTGAATTTTTTTTTCTTGAAACTCTTCATTGTTCATTTTGGCTGGCTTATTCAGTTTCAGCAATGGTTTCTTTTTATAAAAAAACTCCATTTTGAATCAAAATAGTGTAATATGAAGTATTCAGCAATTTCAATAAAAGATATGACGTGGGTATTCCAAATCCCCACATCTCAAGTCTGGAATCTTTCTTATGCTGGTCTAATACTGGTCATCAGCTTGGGGATATCCTTTTCTGCTGTCATAGCTAATAATCACATCACTCAATGTTTGATCATAAAGATCAAAGTATATATATATATATATATATATATAGGTACTCCCCAGTACAGTTTTTTCTCAGACTCATAATTTTTCCTCTTGCATTTCTCCCAGTGAAGTCTCAAAACAGTTTGGCTAAAGCTGCATCTCATCATTGTTAAAACAAAAGCAGCCTTTTTCATAGTTGGCATTAGTATACTCTGGGGAAATAAGGCTTGCCAAAGTGTATTTTTTAATACTGTCAATTATCACTGGAAGAGTTCCCTGAATGGATATTGACTATTATTGCTTCCCTTCCCCAAGTCTTTAAGGCTTGCATTTTACAGTTGTTTGGTCTGCAAACTGCTGCATGAAATGCCTTGGTATATGACAACCAAATGGTTGCTTCATGTTTACTGTGCATAATAAAACAGATGTAGAACAGGTACTGCTGGATAAGCATCCCCAGGTAGTGTATCGATGACATTTTCTAATACGAAGCTGACAGCAACAACTGTTTAGCCTTGGGGCTGTTGCCCACTTCTTATCTAAGCAGTTGTAAGACTAAATCTCACGTTCATTGCTGTATGCATGACTAACTCCCCTGAACTATTTTTCCAGCAAAATATGCTTTTCATACATAAAGAGGGAAGTGTACTCCTCTGGTCCTGCCATTTTCACAACATACAAGCCTAGGGCAGTAATGGCTGTGGGTTAGAGGCTGAACTCTGCTGGTCAACAGCATGACTCCCTAAGGGGAGCATCTCCCCTGCTGGTGAAGTGCTCTCTCTGCTTACTGAGACAAGTGCTGCATGACTCCTGCCTGCACTGTGAAGGACGAGAGAGATCAGAAGAAGGGAAAAATACCAGTTGGGATCTGTTTTTGTATGTGGAACAAGTGCACATCACTACCAACTGTTCAAACAGAGCTGCTAGGAAAGAAGCAGTGTGAGGTATTCTGGGGTGTGTTTTCTTTTAAGGAATGGTCTAGCAGCTTTCAATTACACCCATTTTCCAGGCAGACTTTGATTTCTGTTTCCTTGGCCTCACTGACTGCCCCTGTGAGCATGACTACCTCCTGCTGTGAGCATGCTGGGTGCTGCGCATTTGTCCCAGCTCTGGCTCCACGCTGAAGCACAGCAGCCGGGGAGGTGAAAGTCCACCATGGGCTGGTGGTGGCTGTGGGGTGCTGGGCGTGGGGTAGCGCTGCTGCAGGTCACTGCAGGAGTGGAGGTCTTGTTCCTTGCTTCAGTGCTTCTGCCTGGCAAGAGGAGGTAGAGCTGTGAGCAGGGAGCGCGGGGCCACAGAGCCCTCCTCACAGCTGGCTGGGCTGTAATTGTGCTGGGGGTCGGTGGGTGGCTGCTGTGGGCCTGCTGGGCCAGGGAGGAGCTGGTTCTCTTTCTACCCCTTCTACCCCTCTGTCAGAAAAGCTGCCTAAGCTTGTTTTTTGCAGTATTAGTCTTCAATGAAGACTGAAACAACTATCAGTGGTTAATTTTAAAAGTAAAAGAAAACACAGCAAATAAACACAATGTAACAGCTGGAGTACTGTATTTATTTAGCTGTTCGGGGCGGGGAAAAACATGCTGTGATGAGGAGTTAAATGCAAGTTCTGCCTGGGTGAATTAAGGTCTGATTTCAAATGAAACCTTAAAAAATAAAGCTTGCAACATGTCGTTTAATAATTTATGGAGTTAGTCTTGACTTTTGGTCAAATGTTTTCGTTACTTAAATAGCTTCACTGCCAACTAAGTGTATCAGTGTTGCAAAGAGGACAGATGAAGTTTTGAGGTGGTTTTGATACCAAAATGCCAACATTTGATGATATTTTGGAGCAGGTGGGCGAATTTAACAGGTTCCAAAAGCAAACCTTTTTCCTCCTGTGTTTGCTCTCCGCCGCCTTCACTCCCATCTACGTGGGTGTCGTCTTCTTCGGGTTCACCCCCGAGCACCGCTGCTTCAGCCCCGGCGTGGCGGAGCTGAGCCAGCGCTGCGGCTGGAGCCTGGAGGAGCAGCTGAACCACACCGTGCCCGAGTGGGGCGGCCACGGGACTGCTTTCGGCAGCCGCTGCAGGAGGTACGACGTGGACTGGAACGCGACGGGCCTCAGCTGCACCGACCCCCTGGGCAGCCTCGCAGGCAACCGGAGCTCCATCCCCCTCAGCCCCTGCCGGGACGGGTGGCTCTACGACTACCCGGGGACCTCGCTCGTCACTGAGGTAAAAACCTTTGTCCATCTTACCTTGTGCTATTACGGATGTTATTATGGTGTGGGAGATGGTTGATGTAGCCGATGTTGTATTAAAGTGCAGGTTACCTTGTAAGAGGGGATCGTCTCCATCTCTGACCTTACTCTGAACTGCTTTGCAAATAGTCTTCGCTCTGTCCTTGCTGCAAAGTGTTGCCTTGGTCTGCTCAGGAGGTTTATATCTCCAGCTGTGGAGCAAATAAATCCCTAGGTAGATAAAGTCCAGTCTGGAATGAAACTCCCATTGCATGAGAAGTCCTATTGGTGGAAGTGTGTAAACACTGTTTTAGAAATCAAGAACCTGTAACACTCCAAACAAAACCGGCTGTCTGGGACGGTGCCTTCCAGAAACCACACATGCTTTCTGCGATATCCGCCCAGATTTGAAGGTTTTGACTTCCTTCGTTTAAAACAAACAAATCTTAGTTTGTTTCAAATATGATTAAATGACTGACTATGGGTGGGGAAAAATAACTGCCTCCCGCAAGTAAACAGTTTAATTCTGGAACAAACAGCAGAAAAACCAATGGCTGTTTTGTGTTCTCAGAACAGATGTGAAAATGGTATTTAAGCTATTTAGAGTGTTTTAGGTTTTTAGGCACTTTAACCTTTTAAAAAAATAAAAATCTGGGATGGCGAATGTGATTTCATCTTAGGGAAAAAAATGACTTCAGTTATCTCTTAAATTTGTTGTTACTTCTTAACAAATGTAAGAGCAGGTAATTTTTGTTGTAGTAAATTCCCTGTTTGTAGTCCGTAACAGAGGGTGTAATGTAAGGATATTTCTTTCCACAAAGTATGGATTGCAGGACATTAAGGTGAGGAGATAAGTAACCAAATCTTTCCAGATGGATTCTGTTGTGGAAAGTCCTGGTCACCCTTCAAGGCAGCACCTCAACATCTTCACAGCAAAAGGCTTGAGCAAAGCCTCTGCTCCGGATGGCCTCTGTCATCTTTTGAGACCATCCAACACCGAAGAACTTGCAGCCTGACTGGATTTGTACGGTTGTGCTCAGTGAAAGTTGTCTTCCTTTTTCTTCTGAAGGTGGTGCAGGGCCAGGCCTTGGGTCACTTCCTTCACAGGATAGCTGGCAGATGTTGTGTGCCTCAGGGTTCATTTTGGCAATGTATCTTGTTTCTGTCCATTAAGGCTATCAGGCCGTGTTCTCCCTTGCCTGGCAGCTAAGGAAGAAAGAAGATAGCACAGAGCAAAGCATGTTACTTTGCTCAAAGGAAAAAAATAAAATTACCCCCCCGTGGAAGAATATCCTCACAGGCACCCTCACAGAGTATCAGGAAGAAGTATATATTGGTTGAAAATGCATTGGTTAAATAAACCCAGCTACTAGTATGCTGGGAAAGTTAGATGGCAAATATTTACAGGTAACCATGTGGTAAAGCTTGTCCATGGATGCAGAGTGCCTGATCTCCAGACATGTTAGGCTGTAGGGGGGGTTTAGGTGAGCAAAAGGCCAGAGCGTAACAAGAATGCCACGGCCTTGGGGACAGATGTGGTGTACCTCATCCCACATTCCTCTGGAGCAGTGCTGCTGGTGCTCCATGGGAAGTGGGCCAAGGCAGGCTTCTGCAAGCACCTGCAATACTTCTTTGTGAAGCCTTCACCTTAGTCCTCACCCAGGGGCTGCTATGGCATACGAGGTTACAAGGCAACTGGAACTGCTTGTATGTATTAACCATCAGCCCCTAAAAATCTGTTTAAAATGCCCAGTGATCAACAAGTCCATGCTGATTTGATTAGCTTGATATTTGATCAACTTGGCAATAACTGGTTTACATTCTTTTCAGTATTGAGAGATAACCCGTGACTAGGTAAATACCGGGGAATTGCCCAAGGGCTTGATCTTGTTTTCAGTGTTGAAACTTAAGTCAGTAGGGTTCCTGGGTGCTGATGAAATCAGCATCAATCCAGAAACAAGTTTAAATCTTTAAATGAAGCAAACGAGGCTTGTGAATGTGAGCAACCTGGTTTCACTGTCTGGCTTCTAACTGTGGTCGTTCTTTCAGTTTAACCTGGTGTGCGAGGACTCCTGGAAGTTAGACCTCTTTCAGTCGTCTGTGAACGCTGGCTTTTTTATTGGCTCCGTAAACATTGGCTACATAGCAGACAGGTATGTGCGGGACAGCAGCAAAACCCTCTGGCCTCCCTTATCAGGGTTCAGCAGCTAACCTTAGGTAATGGCAGAAAAAGGTTGTGCAATTGGTATCACCTGTTGTTCTCTCTTCAAAGTAAGGTCAACCACTGGGTTCAGTCACGTTATCAGAAGCGAGTACTCAGTCTTAGGCGAACAAATCTTCCCGGGTAGCTTGCACAAATCTCTCCTGCTCTGTGAGTCCTGCAGAGTTTGCAAGCTCTTCTAGGATGGTGCCCCCAGACCTCCCTGCTGTGCCACATGGGAGTCCTGGGCATGTTAACAGAAGCCAGGAGATGCTGATTTGGAGCTATCCCTTCATCTGTCATGCTCAGTGTGGCTACAGCTTGGAAACATCATATTTCCATTTGAGAGACTTTGATATAGTAGACAGAGAGATCGCCAGATGGGTACAGCTGCTTTGGAAATCCCTGGGTCCTGGCATCTTTAACAGCCCCTTCGGAACCAGCAGAGATGTCCTTGAATTGTCCTTGCCCAGGCAGCTGGGGTTAAGAAGCAAACGCTAATATTTGAAGGGCCTTTTTTTCTCCCTTGTTCCCCTCCTGCCTGGAGACTCTTAGTAGAGGAGGATGTGTGTGTCTCCAGCTGTGAAATGCAGCCCACTCACAGCAAGGTCTGTACACTCAATTTTTGGGATCAAGTTATTGGTACATAAATCTGCTACCCTGTTGTATACAGACAAACCAGAATCATAAATCTGTGCATATTTTTCACTCTATTACGTATAACAGACTAATAAATGGATTGCTCTGAAATTCAGAGAAAACACCCACAATCCAAACATCTGTGAATATGGGACTATTGCTGCTCTCATTTGGGAAATTTTTCTTCCTCTGAGAAGCCTGAAAGCTTTTGTGTAATTGCAGAACAATTGGCACAGTAATTTTTCAGGGATTCAAAAAGCAAATAAGTGAGTAATGGCCTAAAAATAAAAGTTGGTATGTGCCTAGCCCTTGTATAGCAAAGTGTTTGAACTTTTTTTTATTTCAAAAATGCACAAAGCTTGTATTTTATGTCTGTTCTCATGACTAGTGTTTTGCTGTACACGTACTATCTTCCAATCCAGGTTTGGCCGTAAATTTTGCCTCTTAACTACAATTCTTGCAAACGTGGTCTGCGGCATCCTCCTGGTCTTTGTGCCCTCCTACCTGTGGATAGTGATTTTCCGCTTCTTGCAAGGGCTGGTCAGCAAGGGTTGCTGGACTGCGGGCTACATCCTAGGTGAGTTCGGACCTTCTCCTTGAGATAGAGGGGCTGCAAAAGATTAAGAAAAAAAAAAGCCTTTTAAAAATGCCTCTTGTGGATTTTTGAAATCATGTATGCAAGCAGACATCATGGGTGTGTTTCCCCTCTGTCTTCTTGGTATTCTTTAGGACAATGTTACTTCTCCCATATGACAGTAGCCTTCAAAGATCAAGTGAGTGGTGGTACATTAAGGCTGTCACCTCCAGGTGGGCTTTGCCCTGTGGGTCAGCACCCTGTTGCAGATCAGACCCTGCTTCCTGCAAGTGCTGGCTGGGGAAGAAGTTGGCCCCAGGTCTGACAGCAGCCACCCCTCTGCAGCCCAGTCTCTGATGGGGTAAGGACAGAAGAGGACATTGAAGAAGTAGGCAGGAGGGTAGGGAAGTCTGGAGGCGTTGTTATGACACAAAGAACATTAAAGGGCAAACAGGCTTTACAGCCTAAAAATAACTGGAGAACAGCATGTACTTGCTGAGGAAAAGATGAGCTGTTTGGATATCTATGCACTTGGTTGAGTGAAGCCAAACCAGGGGATTTCAAAGCAATGGTCAGAGCCAAGCTGTGCTGGTGTTCCTCACAGCATAGAATCACAGAATCATTAGGGTTGGAAGAGACCTTCAGGATCATCTGGTCCAACCATTGCCCTACTACCAATGTCACCAGTGCATGGTGGAGCTGCTTGGAGCTTCTCTGTTGTGGAGTTCAGGCTCATGTCAAAATAAAACTCTAAAATAAACAAAAAGACATAAAACCACACCAAGCAATCACTGAAGCAGCCAATTAAACATTGTAAAAACTGGCCAGTTGAGACTTATCTGGATTATTATGGCTAGTGACTATACTGGCTATCTCCAAGTGATTCAGTTAACTGTATCTAAAGCATAAATGTCAACACCCAAAACATCTGTGAATTCTTTTTAGCAGAGGTGTTGTGCTGATGCAGTTATTTGGATGTTTGAAATAATAACATCTAGCCCACGGTCTGGACCATCCTCTGCCAAGATGTGGTTTTTTCTTCCCGAGGGTGTTCTAGATACTCACCTGGCATCTTAAATACTTTCCTGGCACAAATAAAACCTTAATCACCTCTGGGGAACTTCATGCCATTTTAGAGTGTAAAATCCCTCTCAGGATGACTACGTGCCCCATCTTGATATTTTCCCCCTCAATTACATCTTGCTGCTTCTGTTTCTCCTTGAAATTCTCTCATGAGAGAAGACATGGTAGAATCAACCCCAAAGCCCATCTAAACTTGTCTCCTCTCTGTAAAGGTGGCTGATTCTGAGTGCCCAGAGAAGGGCACAAGGGCAGAACAGCCTCCTTGTCATGCTCTCCTGGGATATTTGATATTTGTTTACCCTGCAGCTGCTTATGGCTCAGTTTTACAGAGCCTGAGGCATTGTTCTCTGCTCATCATTTGGCCAAGCAGAATTAGCTAATCCATCATCCCCAAACCAAGGGCTTCCTTGAGTTGCTGAATAACTGCTTTGTTCTTTCTCTAATTTGTTTGCTTTCTTGAAATGATGTGACTGGATGCAAAAATGAGTATGTTTATGCCTGTCTGCTGGAATAATTGCTCTTAGCTCTGCATTAGCAAGACTCAACCTACCTGGTGATATGTGGTTGCAAAGTGCAAATGGATGAAGCTCTATGCCATCCTGTGCACAGACATTCACGTGCTTGGAGGCTGAAAAGGTGCACTTGGGAAACAAAATAACGAAGTCTGCTTCATTATTGGGTATTATTGGCATTATGAGACATTATGTATATTAGCCCCGGGTTTTGCAACAAAATTCCTCAGTGCATTTTGAGGGCTGTATGAGTTATTCAGGGATTTCCATGCCAGAGGACAATGCTTGGATACCTCAGGTCAGTGTGAGAGCAGGAACAGGGTTTTCTGGTAGTCTGGCAGGAAAGCACACCTTCCTCAGCAAGCACTGGGGTACTTCAGTCCCGAGGTTTCATGCCAGGAAGCCCAGGATTACCAAGAGGCCTTCTTCAGGGGGTCTTCAAGGTGCTGGGGAAGCTTTTGTTTTCTGTGGATGCTGCTGAGCAAGCAACTCGTGCTCTGCGTGGTGGTGGAGCTGTCAGTCCCTGTCTGTTTTCAGTGACCGAAGTCGTCGGTCCGCAGTACAGGAGGACAGTGGGGATTCTCTACCAGACGGCCTTCTCCGTTGGGCTCCTGGTGTTCGATGCCATCGCTTATGCCATCCCTCACTGGCGGTGGCTGCAGCTCACGGTCACCCTGCCCAGCTGCTTCTTCCTGCTCTTCCACTGGTAAGCCTGCTTTCCTTGCACCTCTGCCCGTGACTCAAAAAGCAGTTTCTCTCGGCTCCCAGGATTTGAGATTGAGGGAAATTTGGCACTGCTTTTTGGATGTGTGTCTCCTAATGCAAAGAGGAGGCACACAGCAACAAGGGGTGGGGAATAGGACCCCTCAGCAGCTGGCACTTCACTGCATCTTACCTGTGTGCTGCACCTGGTTTCTGTGTAAAAAGAAACACCAATGTGAAATGCACTGGAGGAGAATGGTCTGGTATGATAACCTTTTCATAAAGGAAAAGAAATGCCTTGACAATTAAGTAGATCCTATACTGAAAATGTGGTGATAAGGATCCTATACTGAAAGAGGTACATATTTGTAACAAGTTATTTACTTTTTTTTTTTTTTATGAGAAAAAACAGCTTTTGTGGTCCAACTGAAGGAAGAAACATGGGTCCATCTTTATTTTGGATCTCTCCTAACTTTTTGAGTAATATTTTTCAGTTTTTGAGAATTTTGGTTATAGGTTGTCTGGGTTGAGTTATTAGGCTTAGTAGTAAAAGACTTGTTTTTCTATTCCTTTTTTTTTTTTTTTTTTTGGCATGTGTGAATTGGTAGACCAGTTTTAGCTTGTTCATTTTTTCTTATCCTGTGATGGCCCAGCTGGACAATGGCTCTTTAGAAGGTGCCAGTTTTCTGTCAAAAGGCTGAATAAAATTTTGGCAATACTCTCACTCAAAGCCCTGCCCCAATTTCTCTTTAGTAACCACATCTCTGATCAAAGACACTGCGACAACTGCTCCTCTTCCTATTTCAACAGTGGGATATACTGTTTTTCCTGGCTGGGAGGAAACCAACTCTTTCTAATCAACCAAAATATTCTCCCTACAGTCTCCATTTTTGGGAATGCTGTGGGTGCTTTATGTTTTGGTGTAATAGTATCCACTCACTTACATTGTAGGTTCCTCCCAGAGTCTCCCAGGTGGCTGATATCTCAAGGAAAAAATGACGAAGCTAAGAAAATTGTCAGCGATATAGCTAAAAAAAATCGGAAAAAGATGCCTTCCCATTTTGAGGTAAGTTCAGGGACTGCTTATGCATGTAAGCAAGCACCATGATGGTCCCTTCCATCTGTTCCTTCCAGTAGAAGTTCATTGTACTTCAAATATCAGAAAACCTGGCCCTGCGGTCAGGGAGGTGATAAGCTCTATCACACTAACAGTGGAGGTGGGATGGCACAACTGTCTTAACACTGTTTAAGCAGGAAACTGAGTTTTCCCATGGAAGTAAGATGGGAAATGTTTAAAAGCACGGACCCATAGAGAACATTTGGGGAAGTTTGAGGGAACCCTGCCCAGACACGGCCTGCTGCATGGGAAGAGATGACCAGCACACCCTTCTGGGACTGTTGCCTGCTGTGAATAGTTGTAGTTTCAGGACATGTCCCAGGCACTTTCCTAGGACAGCAGGGAGCATTCAACACCTATGAACACTGTGCTGGCTCTTCTGCAGGATATTAAATTTGAAGATGATGATGAGGGCGGAAAGCAGAGTCCTTCGCTAATTGACCTTGTCAGGACACCACAGATGAGAAAAAACACATTAATTTTAATGTACAACTGGTAAGAAGATAACGTTGGTGAGTTGTTTTTGAAGCTCTGGTCGTGAATGCTCCAGCAGGACATAGACTTTCTGACTGACTAACAAAGCTGGGACACTCTCCTCTGCCTAGGTTCACGAGCTCCGTCCTCTACCAGGGGCTCATCATGCACATGGGTCTAGCTGGGGGGAACATCTACCTGGATTTCCTCTATTCTGCTCTCGTTGAGTTCCCAGCTGCCTTCATCATCATCATCACCATTGACCGTGTTGGGCGGCGTTACCCCTGGGCTGCAGCAAACCTGGTGGCTGGGGCTGCCTGCCTTGTCACAGCACTGATCCCAGCGGGTAAGTCACCTGGGTGAAGCCACGTGGTGGCTTCCCATCCCAGCACTGCCTCCTGGGGACAGCACCTGCCTCTCCCTCCCCTTCCAGCCCTGAAACACGTACATCCAGCACTGCGTGCTGCCTCCTCACTTTCAGTAGTGCTCCTCACTCTGCAGAAGTGAAATGAGAAAGTTTTGAAGCACGGCTAATACTAAATTTCAAAGCACCTGGGTCCCCTGTGCTGCTTTCTAAGCTTCCCTGTGGTACAGCTCATGCAGTGATGACTTTCCATTTCCTGATTTACATGTGAAAGAAGGCTCCTTAAAAACATTGTGATATGAGATCAGAGGTCCAGCTAAAATAGCACTGCTGTGTCAAGTGAATCCTAAGTCACTGGGATAAATTAAATGCATTAAATGAATGAATTTTCTCTGCAGACATATATTGGCTAAAACTGATTGCTGCTTGCCTTGGGAGAATGGGAATCACAATGGCTTTTGAAATGGTTTGTTTTGTAAACACTGAACTATATCCAACATACATCAGGTAGGTGCATCCTTCTCCCAGTGGGCCATATGGCCAAGAAATGTTGAAGCCAATGTGTATTTTGTGTTATACTAAATGAAATAATCCTCAGAACTATGCAGGTAGTGCTGATCACAAAGCAGGTGGGAGCACAAGTAAGGTGCTTTAAAAGGTAAGATAATGAAGAAACAAATGTGCTTCAAGGCAGGTGGAAACTCATGTGGATGAAATAAAGGTAAAAGTGGGGACAACCAGGATGGGTGGGGGATCTGAAGGCCCATGTTGTGCTGAGATTTGTATCACATTTGAATGAAAATAACACGGAAAGGGATCTGTCCAGAGTGGCTGCTGCTATGGAGAATGTACATTCACACAAGCCTTTGACACGAAGACTGGAATTTTCCTTACTTGTAAGTGGGCTGCAGGGTGCATAGTTCAGATGTAGATATATCCACTGCAGGTAACTAAAGCTTGGATGCTAATCCTTCAAAGTTTTCTTCTTGCCCATGACCATAGACCATAGCATGCAGGGAAGATGTCAGTACTGAACAGATGATTTTTACACATCCTTTTTTCACTGGAGAGAAACTCATTACATGAAGTTACACAACATATGAAAATCTTATTTCTCTATCCATAATCAACATAATGGAAGATGAATTTTGAGATTTTATTAATGGTGTGTAACAAACAGAAGCATAATTTGATACCCCTTGTACTAAGTCTCCGAAGAGATACTGAAGCTATGATTTTCTTTTTACTGTATCTGGAGACTCTCCTTGGATACTTTGGGCCTGATTCTCTTTTGTTTAACCTTCGGAATTTGCTCACACCTCTGTGAAAATGCAGGTATATTCTCCTGTTCCTATTTTCTATGCTTTTTATTCTTTAGGTGTTTAGGTCTAAACAATTTTTGGATGTGCCCACCAATAGAAAACTAGATACTTTAGATACTAAAAACTACTTTGCAATGTATCTTGATGTTTAGTGGTTTGCAGAGCCATGTGCTCTGTGCAAAGGCAGTCATGGTCTGTCCTCTTCCACCTGCAGTACTTGCTAACCTGGTCCCCGTTCTGTCAAACTAGGAATCTCGGGGTGATGGTCTGCTCTGCCTTGTGTGATGTTGGTGGAATTGTCGTCCCATTTATTGTCTACAGACTGGTGGAAATCTGGCATGAGCTGCCTCTGGTGGTCTTCAGTAAGTGCTGCCTTACCTCCTTGCCAGCTGCTCCTGGGGGGCAGCAGTGGGGCCTAGCTTGCAGAGAGAGGGAAAAGCAGCTGAGGCATTTTGCTCCAGTTTCAGCAGAAACACCTTCCCCATCCGTATGTGGTGTAACCTTCAGTTGGTAACAGCCTGGAACTTGTCTGTGCATTCAACATCTCCTTTGCTCTTATTACTGTTCCTTGCATTTTAAAAGAACCTGGAGGTGAATACAGATTTGACAGATGGTGAAAAGCTGAGAAATGTTCTAACATTTTAATGAGCCTAAATGGGGTTTTGTTTTGATGGATTCAAATCTGACAAATTACTGCTCTTCTGTGAGGTGTATTTTCTCAGTCCTGGAGCCAAAAACTAGAATTTCCCAGAATTCATTTTTTAATGGGGAGCAAACATGGCTGCTGTGCTGCAGCTTTTCCATCAGTCTGTTAACAGTCTGTTCTCCACCTATTGGGAAAGAGATGGGTAAATAAATGCAAGATGAGTGTTTGCAGACTAGCAGCCTGAACTTTCAGGTCGAGGTCTGTGACTCTTCTCTGAATCTTTAGATCAGCGTGCTATTTATAGAAAAATGTCTTGAATGGCAGTATGCAGTTTTTAATTGGCAGCATATTTAGGAGGGTGCTTAGGAGGTTCAAAACAGGGACACCAAATGTGCAAAGTGGTTAAATGAAATCAGCAGTGAAAAAAAATAAACAGAAAAATTAAACATTATGCAGGAGTTAATAAGTATCTTCTAAATCTAATTATGTAAATAGCATACATTTTCTGGCTTATGCTCAGACTAAAAAGGGTTCTTCCCTTTTTACAGCTGTCTGTCCAGTTTTCAGTGCCCTAGGTCAGTGCATAACTCACAACCAAACTTTGGTTCATTACCACGTCTGCTTGGCTGCCAGGTCCTCCAGAGATGGCATGCTGGTCTTGCATATCAAGCCTTGATGAGTACATCTCTAAAGAACGAAATAAAATGCTGTTTAAGAGTCCTTTGTGCCAGGCAGTGGAAAGTGAGTTATATGCTGGAAATTAGTATATGCTGACAAGCTCTTTGTGCATCTTTGCTTTGAAGCTGTTCTTGGTTTAATTGCGGGTGGATTGGTGTTGCTCCTGCCTGAAACTAAAGGAAGAGTTTTGCCTGAGACTGTTGAAGATGTTGAAAACTTTCACAGGTGAGTTATGGTGTTGGACTATTGACAGCTTTCACTTGAAATTGTACAAAATCCCCAGCTAGAGCTCCTTGGGAAAGCACAGGGCTTACTTGGTTGCCTCCTGTGCTTTCATGAAGTTGCTTGCTAATTCCCAGACTAAGACTAGACTGGTTTTGGACTCTTTTACCACTCTTCTCCACATTTGAGGACAAACTGCTAATCTTCTCAGGGGAAGAGGTAGGGCAAATGAGGAGTTTTGAAGTCAGGTACTTGCTGAAAGTATTGATTCCTGGTTAGCTGCTTATATCTTGCTGTTCTTGCAGGCAAAGTGCTCCGAAGGACAAAAAGATCTATCTCCACGTCCAGACATCAGAAGTAGCACGTGACTGAAGATGGTACAACCTTCTGGGCAGTGCTTTAGGGCACTGGCACGGACAAGCAAATTGGAATGAATGCCCTTTTGTCTTGCCTCCTTTCCTTTTCTTCATAGAATCACAGAACAACACAGGCTGGAAGGGATCTCGAAAGATCATCAGGTCCAACATTTCACGGGAGCCTAGATGAGATTATCTGGCACCCCGTCCAAGAGCAGCTTGAAAGCCTCCAGTGCTGGGGTTGCTCACCCATCCCTCTTTTTTTTGGTCTGCCTATCCTTTGCTTACAATGTTTTCTGATCAGGTTGTCCCTATGACTGCATAGCTGCTTCCCTCTCTGTATGCTGTAATATTAATGTTTTAGGGCTGGAAAATGTTCACGCAAGCGGGACCTAAACATGAGAGCAGGTCTTATTTTGAGGATGGAGGTTTCCCAACAGAACTCTCTAAGTCCCCATGAAATCTGACTTTGTTTTGTTGTATACAGGGACAGCATAAGAGTTATGTTACCATTACCTCTGTCGTGGAACTGAGGTGACTACAAATCTCATATAATCCTGTTAGAACAAGCAACCACTTTGCACAGACCTTTTTGCTATCCCGTATGTGTTATGGTGTTCGTACATGCCCATGTGAGTGTACAGTTGTCCTGACTGTGGATTTTACTGGCTATCCTCAAGCTCACAAGGATGGGCATGGGCATGAAGAGGGTGCATGCAAGAAAGGCTACTGCACTTGTGAAGATCTAGGGGTCTTTCTCATTACTAAGTGTAGCCACTACATTTTCTTGTTAATATCTCCACAGGCTCTATCCTTCTTGGTATGATGCTGTTTTCTTAAATCTCCATGTCATTATAAATGTGTGCACACAGACATGTGGAACTTTATTAATTATATTCTGTTGAGCCCAGCTGGGGGTGTGGGGCTGGGAATGATATAGCTGTCAGGGAGCCCAGGGCCTGACAGTGTCCTGCTCCACCTAATAATTTTATCAGGGTTAGCCTGTGCCAGCACAGAGCTGTATCTCTGGAGCGAGTGGGGCCCAGGCTTAGGACAGGGTTTCTGATCTGGGATTTGGCCAGTGCTCCTGTGCCACGGGGAGCATTAGGGGCAAAGTTAGATCTACTAGGGCCTGTCCAGCACCTCTCACAATTTTCAGTTGCCCCAGAAATGGGGTCTGCCTGTTTCTGTGCCTCCTGCTCCTCTCTGCTGTCAGTGGCAGTAGCGTATCCCCTGCCCATCTTTCCTGTTCATGTTCTGCTTTTTCTTTTCCATACCACTGTGCAACCCTAACAGTCCTGTGGTTGCAGAGGAGAAGGAGCATGAAGTACTGTTGCTCCCCTTCACTGTTTGGCTGATCCCTAGCACTGTTGGGAAAAACTGGAAGCCAGTGAGGATGCTGTATGTGTTCCACAAGATACTTCTGCCACTTACTGATCAGCTGCAGGAAGAGAGCCCCCAGCTGAGCAAAATGTTGCTGGACTCCCACGGGCAGTGTGCAGTTGCCCTGGGGTTGCTTCCTGGCCCAAGCATCAGTTAATGTTCAGCCTTGCTGTGAGGGCCTAGAAGGCAGGGCAACATGTTGTCCAGCGAAGCAGGGCCCTCAGATGACTTCAGTCTGAGCTGTTGCAAAACTCATGTTTGCTTTGGGGTCAGAGAGAAACAAATCTGGTCCTGAGATTGGCAAGAGGGCCCGTGGGGATGCAATTGTGTGTGTACCGTGGAGCTGATCCCCTGCTGTGATTTTGTGATGACTTAGCTCTTTCCTGGAAGAAAGCTGTCAGAACATCTGTTTTTGTTGTGGTACGTCACTTTGAAACCTGATGAAAACTTTGCAGAAAGAAAAAGGGGGGTGGGGTGGAATGGGGGGCAGGGAGGAAGAGGCAGGAAGTAAAACAAATGCTGGGATGAATAAATGGAGAACTCCAGAAGCTGAGTCTCAAAACCGTGACATATCACAGAGGTGTGTGTCTCCATAAGCACTGCCCTGCTGCTGCAGCAGAAGCTGTGGAGGTGGCAGGTGCTGGCGTGCCTTCACCTCTGCAGCCACCTGAAAGTTATAACGGCCCTTTGCTCTTGGTGGCATCATCGGTAAAGCAGCACTGTGCCAGCTCCTGTTCCCTGTAGCAGCGGCTGGGCCCAGCTCTGTGCCACGGCTGTACCTGAAGCCTAGGAACCACTGAAAAACCGCAGCACAAGGAGACTGTGCCTGGGAAGAACATAATGTCTCCATTTTCAGGCTACCCGTGAGCCTACAGTAGCCGAGTTTCGGAAAGAATTGCTGTTTAATTCATAACTGCTGGACAAAAAGTTTCTGGTATTCTCCCTGGCATTGTCTGAGAGACAGCCTGACTGCGGATGTGGTCTAGGGCAGCGGTCCCTAAGCACTCCTCTTGTCCTCTGCTCTTGCTTTCAGCACCAGTATCCAAACATCCCAGTGCTGGCATAGCTGCAATTTGGAGACTTCACTGCTAATTTTATCCTTTCGAACATGGCCACAGCCTCTGTAGTCTATCAAACTCATTAAGGGTTATTGTCTGCAAGCTATAATCTTAATGTGGTTGCTTCGTCAAGGTGGTCTTGTGTGTGTCCCGTGATTTTCTGCCAATTCATGGGTCAATGAAAAGCTTATGTCATTTCCAGCTCCTGTTATAGTGTGATCAAAACTGTAAGTGTGCTAGATTGTGCTTGAGCTTGCTCCAGTCCAATCCCTACTGTATACACTTTTCACATTTCATGAAGTGTATTAGTAAAAAATGTGAATAAATGACGTCTCTTCCCAGAGCTGGGGCTGGTTAGGAGACAAACCCAACTCCACAGAATATACACAAGCTGCTGAACATAATGTGAACCACATTGCAAGGGGATCCTAAGGACTACAGAGAGCATCTTCAACTTTAAGCCCTACAGCAGTGATTTTCCAGCATGTTATTCACGGAGATCTGCTTAGAAAGCCAGACCCTTCGTGGCTCATCTTCCCCTTAGGCCTGAGCCATGTCCCAAGGCTCTGCTGCCTGCAGCTGCTCTTTGCCTTGCTTTTCATTTTCCAGCTTGTCTAACAGTCAAGTTCTGGACTTAAAAGCCAGTCTGGACTTATAAGTGTTTATAATTTTTGTATTTAGATCTCCAGAAGAGGAGGGATCACATGGGCAGAAAGAGATGCTGCTGAATGCCCCCAGGCTCCATGAGCATGCTCTGCAGAGGTGCTCGCTGCGGGGTGGCTGGAGCTGAATCTGCTGAGCATCAGGAGACTTAGACAAGTAGTACCAAGGTTTTCAGGAGTGTAGGGGAAGTGTGGCAGTAAATCAGCTACTGTCTGCATGCTTTCTTTCATGTAAAATCAGATGAAATGTGTTTGGGGGGGTTGGGAGAACAAATGCACTCCTGCTTGCTACAGAAGTGAGCAGCCTAAAGGTCTGATTTTTTGTTTTGTTTGCTATAATTAAAAATAAAAAAAAAAATCCTTCATGATAGTCCTGCCCAAGTCATAAGAGTCACTGCTACTGGATACCCAGGAACACCAGAAATATTAAAGTACTCAGAAGGCAGAGAAATTCAGGGAAGGGATGGCCCATGAGGGGCTGAAGTAGAAATCCAGGAGCTGACGTGCAGCTTGGGAGCAGCTCTGGCTGCTGGCAGTGCACGAGCAAGCCAGGGAAGAGCTGGCTGTGTTAGTGCAGCTCTTCCGTCAGCGCTGGGTGAGGGCTGTTCTGCTGCCCCTCTGCCCAGGCAAAGGCAGGTCTGGGGCAAAGTGGGTCCTTTTTACTTGGGAGTGGCTTTTGAAGTCAGAACTTGGAGATAAATCGTATTTTCTTTTCTTCTCTTTTGCCTGCAGAAGAAATAAGGAAAAGACATGTGAAGCTCTGGGTGGCAAAGAGCGTGATCCACTAAGCAATCCATATGCTCGCATTCGCCGAAAACTAAACGTAATGGTTATCTCATCACGGGCAGTTTTTCAGATGAGGTCAGATTGTTTCAAAGAGAGCAGGGAAAAAAAGTTATTTGGAGGTCTTCTGTGGCCTTGCTGCAGCTGCATGGCTGTCTGAAAATCATATCAACGGTTGCATTAGTAACTTTGGCATTTCCTACTGTAAGAGCTGTTATTCTAGGTGCTTTCTGAAGTAATGTCTGGTTGTGTAGCTGTATGTGTGGACTTACCAACTTCTTCTAGAGACAGCCTCTTCCTGTCCTACCCTGTGCCGCATTGCCATCCCTTTCTGGCCAGGTCCTATAGACCCCCCAACTCAGGGCTCCTGAGCTCTGCCCAGGATTTAGCATCTCCATGGCCCTCTGTGGTCTTTCCCTGCTTGGAGGAACCACTTCTAGCTGCTCCCTTTCCAGCTTCTTCAGTTCCTGCCCCACGTATTTTTCTCCATCCGTCTGCCTCCATCCTCTTTGCTCCCTTCCCTCTCCCAGTCTCTCTATACTGGCAGCGAAGCACCAAGGCAGCCTGGTGAAGATAGTGACAAGACAGTTTTTCTTCCCAGGCCTTGCTGACGCGAAGGAGAGCTGCCCTGCCCCATGGGGCCTGTGCTCCATGTCGTACCTGTGCATGTTTTCAGCATCTTCAAGGGTCTCAGGCAGAGTTTTTCCCTTGGTCTCAGGTAGGAGCAGAACCAAGCCACCTCCGATGAAAGCGATCACAGCTGCAGAGACAGAGCAAGGGCCGGAGTTGCAAGGGCAGTGAAACTTCTAAGTTGCTAATTAATTCTCATTTAGACACAGCCGCCCCAGTGATTGAATGAGGGCTCCTCAGAGTGGTAATAACACTTGATTTTTGTCTAAGTGATGCTCTCTGAGGGGCTCTGGAGGCCTGGAAAGCCACCCTGGCCCATAGGTCCACAGGCAGTTGGCCTCCCTTCTCCCTCGCTTTATGTGTAGGAAGCAGCTTTTGGCTCCACTTGTTCAGCTGGCATGGGATGGGGTGACACTAGCTATCTGCCATCCCTACTTTTGGCTAATTCAGACATGAAAGAAATGTTGCTACCAGTCCCCCCAGCTCATTTTGCCTTCTGTTTAGTTTTTGACCCTGCTATGTCTGATATGCATCTATATACACACAGGTGTGTGTGCATTTTACTCGACGCTTGTTTTACAGGAGGGAAATAGGACTTCAGACTCACTGATCTAGGCTGTGGCAAACCAGCAGGCCTCGTAGCTCTTACCAAAGACAACCAGGGGCAGCTCGTGCCAGAGCTCTGCAAATCTGTACACGATGAAGGGTGTTATGATCCCACCGAGGTCGCACATGGACGAGCAGGCCAGCACCCCCAGGTTCCTGGAAAGGATGCAGGCAAGGCTTTGGGCTAAAGCTCATTAACATCTCTCCCCTAGTATAGGGCTGGTTTTGCACAGCTTTCTTGTGAGCTTTTAATTTTAAATGATGCTTCTGTCATTTGACAGATGATCTGTAAAGCTGATCCTTAAGCTCCCAGGATTCTTCTTTTTCCATTGTGAGGAAATGTGAGGCATTTCTGAGGTCTTTACAGTAGACTCAAGTGGATACATGGCAACACCTGCTGCTTTTAGTCCATAACAGAAGAGGGTGCACTTACCTGAGAAAAGTGGGATACAGTTCAGGGTTTACCAAGCAAACCATTTCATAGCACATGGTAATCCCCATCCTGCCCAGGCAAGCTGCGGTCATTTTAAGCCAATAAAGAGCTGGAAAGATATTATGCACATTTATGTTGGAATATAAAACTGCATTCTTTCTTAACTGAAAATAGCATTAAAGATTTAATTTTAGAAAAAAGTAATTATAGTGGCATGAAATGTCATGAAGACAGCACATGATTGTGTTCTGTTTCATTCATTAAAGAAATAACATGATTGTCTTGTGATTCAAGCAAATAACTGGGATTTGAAACTGTCAAAGAGAGATGTCAATAATACAACGTAATTTGGTTAGTCCAGAGTATTAACCAAAAGCTTATACAAAGCCACCCTTTCCTGCTTGCAATAAAACTAAACAGAGCACAGCTGTTTTTCTTTTCTTTTTTTTTTTCTTTTCTTTTTTTTTTTTTTTTTTGAAGCATTGAAATCTTTGAAATTAACATTGATATTGGTTAATTTGCAAGATACTCTGTACTTCTGCACAGAGACTTCTCATGGCTTCCAGACAGGGACAAGCTTGTGCTGTCCCCCTCTCATGGTGTGTGCTCTCAATTGCTTTCACACCTGGACATACAAATGTCTGCTGCCAACAAATGAGTATCCCAGCCCTGCACTGGGTGTCAGTCCAGGACACTGCTGTGTTCTCCGTGGGTTCTTTGATCCCAACCTGACCTTAGGTTGTGTTTTCAGCCATTTCAGCAAATCGTGCATATGCAGCACTGAGTTTCTCCATCATCTACCCAGCTGAGGGATGCACCCAGCCCTGGGCAGCATGTAACCAGCTGATAGCTGCTGATAACCCCTTCCTCAGACCCTCTCTAGAGCCATGCCACTGGCTGCTGCTGCATGTGGTTGGCATTGACTGCAGCTATGGGCAGCAGCTGTAGGCTCCCACCCCAGCCAAGCACATCGGGCCTGTCTGTGCCTCTGCAGTCCCTAGCCACTTGTTAAAGTGTCTACTGTCTGAATGCATTGCTTTTTTTTGCCTGTGACATTTTTCCATAACACTTTGTGGTTTTTGTCCTTGTCCCTCCGTGAACTGTAACTTCTGTGGTTTCAGCCTAATTATACTCCATAAAGAGAAAGAAAAGATGTTTCTTTCAGTTGCCCTCGAGGGACACATTCTCCTTGCAGAGAATGCCCAGCTGAATACACACCAAATGCCTGTCACCGTGGTTGCTCAACATCCTACGCTGATGGCAGCAGCACTGCAGAAAGCACTTACTGTACGCAGATAGTGTCTAAGTATGTGTGTGCACCCCTATGTTTTTCCTTTTTTAGAAGCAGAAAACAGGTATTTGGGGTTGAACACCCAGAACTGTGCATTTAAATCCAAATTGCAAGCTAGGCAAAAATCATAGACCTAACGTGGCATGCCTTGGGTCTAGCACCTGCAGACTTGCTATCTGATTTGATGCCATTTTGGAAATGTTCATTTCTTTTCTCAAGCCTCTCATTAGCTGGTGTAAATGGTGGTGCTGGGACATACATGAGCTTTTACAGTATTTGTCTTCGCTGGATCACAACACTGACATGGTCTAGGTTCACAAAGATTGCTTTCTGTTTCCAGAGCAATAATAAGGAGATAGGGAGAGAACTCATTGACCAAGGAGGTCTGAACGACTCACTGTCTGGGACTAAAGCTGTAACAAGGCAGGCACCACCCGTCAGCACATTTGCCACAGCCCACGGGTAGCGACGGCCAATGCGATCCACTGTCAGCAAGAGGATGAAGGCAGCTGGGAACTCAACAAGGGCAGAATAGAGGAAATCCAGGTAGATGTTCCCACTGGCTATTCCCATGTGCATGATGAGCCCCTGGTACAGGACGGAGCTCATGAACCTAGGCAGAGAACAGGGTACGGTTGAAGCCCAACTCTTTGGGAGAGGATTTGTGCAAAGAACTCAGATTTGCAGCTGGTCAGGAGCAAAACAGGCTTAAATTGATGCCAATTCAAGGCACTGAATATACCTCCATCTGGGCTGCAAATCCATTTCCTTACCAACTGTACATCAATATGCATGTATGCTTTCTTATCTGAGGTGTCCTGACCAGGTCTAAAAATGAAGGTTTCAGCTTTTCTCCATCGTCGTCCTCAGATTTGAGATACTGGGAACACAAGCAAGAGAAGGATAAGAGATCAGAGTGGGCAGGGGAGAGGGTGGTGACCACTGCAAGGATATTTTCCTCTAGATTAATGGGAAAATGAGGGATTTGATTTGTCAGTTATGAAACTGAAGGGAAATTAACTTCTCCAAAGTGTTTTAGGGAAAGGAAACATGAATATTTATGTAGACAGTCCTCATGTCCGTGCAGCCACGTGTATGAGGCTGTTGCATGGCATGAAGCAGCAATTTAAACAGCAATGAATAAGGATGTCTTGTACCGTTCAGTCATGAGACTGGGAGAGTTTACAATGTGTTGATTGGTACTAATTAGAGGAAGAATGTTCCTTGCCTGCTGGCTACTTTTGCAAGCCTCTTCTCTCAAACATGCTCTGTTAGGGTCCTTGGCAGTCAAAGAGAAGAACTTGTTTTACTTTAGGGATCTGCTGTCCTGGTCACTGAGCTGCTCCCTGCTCTAAGCCCTAAGCAATCTTAAACTCAGAACATTGTTAGTCCTGAGCTTTGCATACATGTTTGCTTTCAGCAAACACAGTGCAGTCACCTGGAACGAGAGAGGTAGCTGCTTCTTATTTCCCTTGGCAATGCGCTTAATAACTTCCATGGCTTTGTCATTTTGCTTCTGAGTTATCAGCCACCTGGGGGACTCAGACAGACACCTGCAACACATAAGAATGACATCTATGAGGAAGGAAAATGCATTTTTTCTGTTAGACATAAAATGAAAATGGAACTGAATTTCTCATGCTAGGATCCTATGGTATGTTGAATACCTGTGAGCAGTCTTGAATTCAATGGTATTTGTGGCTGTCAGTGATTGTGTTCTTACTTGGGCTTCGCTTGGATGATGACATGGCCTGATTTTTTTTTTTTTTTCTAATTATTATTATTTTTTTTAATGTTAAGACCAGTTCGTGACAGTTTGGAAACATTCCTCTAAGATAGATTGTGTGATATGTTTTAGAAATGACTCGCAGCCTGTAGGTGCTAAAACAACATCTGCAAAACTGATCCTTAAGCTCTTCCATGTTAAAAATAAACTTTAGAAAAAATAATTAAACCAAATCTGTTCCTCAATCTGGTTCTGATACTTTCTAGGGAAAATTGACCCTTTTTTTTTTTTTTTTTTTTTTACAAATAATTAACTAGATGGTGTTAAAGACAAAGCAAATGTAATTAATGATTAAAAGATCCCACTTTTCACAGTACCTAGAAGTACTTTTTGAAAGCTGATGATTTCTTATTTTGTGATGGGTGGCAAGGCCTCCAAACACACATTACTGTGTGTTGCAGATAGTCCCTTGCTCTCAGGTGGCTCATGCTAAACCCGTGGGCAGGGTGAACAGAACGACCAAAAAATGCCAGATCTGGTCTTGGAAGTCCTATCAAAGGCAATGGTCCTCTGCAAAGCAGCTTCAGCTTCCAGCTGCATTCTCCATCTTTTATCTGCTCGGCTTGGGGTTGCTGGGAGCTGCAACACTTACCAATAGTATAGTAGGAAGAGGAAATTGGGCAGGGTGACGGCGAGCTGAAGCCACCTCCAGTGCTGGAGCACGTAGGCCATGGCAGTGAAGATGAGCAGCCCCACGGTGAAGGCCAGCTGGTAGATAACGCCCACGGTCTTCCGGAAGCTTAAGCCAACAAATTCCGCAGCTGCAAAAATAATCTTACATGAAACACAGGGGAAATGCGTGGGGCTGGGGAGCTGGGGAAATGGTGTTGCCACTGGCTGCACAATGCGGAGCCCCTGCGGCTTGGTGTGGGGGTATGGATACGGAAGGTAAAACACAGCAGGATGTGGTATGGGCTGTGGGTTTGGCACAGGAGCTGGTCTTTGCCACTGCTCTGAGGAAGTATGGTTTGCGCTGTTTGGAGGTTGCCGCAGCTGGGGCTGCCGATGAAGCCTCCACCGTCCAGCTGGGGATTTGTCCCTGCCTCCAGGGGTGTCAGGGCTCACCCATAACATGTGCAAAGACAGCCTTCTCCCTCCCTCCCCTCCTGGCTGAGGACTATCTGGGAACGCCTGCTGGCAGCCCCGTGCCCCCGCCTCACCCCGCTGGGCTGCAGCAAAAGCCATTTTGGCACAACATCTGCGAAACATGAATGTTGTCTCTCAACAACAGCACTGCTGCTGTTGCCTTTCCTGGAAATGTGGGTATCTCTGCAGCATTTCCAGTTCTTGTCTCTAGACTTTGTTCTCCATTTTGTACATGTACTTCAGGTACGAACACTCCCTAGTTTCTATGGCCACCTCCCAGTTATTACTCATATATGTACGAGCTGAAGCAAGCTTTCCAGGAATATGAGTAGGCTCGATAACAAAGTCTGCAGGCCTGTAAACCCTCAGACAGACATCTCACAAAACAAAACACAGCTTGGCTCATAGACACCCGCTTTTGGCAGTAAATAACACACGGTCCCTGTCTGCTCTTGCTATGCACAGATCCCTAAAATACTGGGGGCCCAAGGTGAGGTGAGCCCTGCTGCTAAACTGGGGGGTCGTGGCTGGAGGGTGCAGTTGTGAGGTGCTGTAACTAACTCAGGACGTAGCCGGTCAGCCAGCCCCCCTTGCTGACCAGTCCCTGGACCAGACGGAAGACCACCGCCCACGTGTAGCTGGGTGCGAAGGCCACGAGAAGCCCCGAGACTGAATTGATGAGGACTGTGATCAGGAGGCACAGCTTGCGGCCAAACCTGTAGAAGGAAAGAAGAAGAAATAAAGGGAAAAAAGGCTCATCTCGTGGCTGCACAAAACCCCAGCTGAATGGCGGAGGCATTCCTCATGGCATTCCTCATTACTTGTTGGAATAACAAGTGCTTTCTTCTGGCAGATCTTGTTCCAGGTGGTTTCTCAGGTACAAGGAGAGTAAAGGCTTACTAGCACCTGAAGTCCTGACCTGAGCAGTAATTTATTGTTTTCTCATCTACTCAGTGATGTTTTTAAGGAGTTGACCTTCCCTTCCCAAGGCACTTCTCTGTCTCTTTCCTCTCGTTTACCTTACACCGACTGGGCCCTCCCAGGGAACAGACCTGTGGAGGACAGCCCAGGTGCGAGGCACTCAACCAAGCAGCCACCGTGCTTGCTTAGAAATGTCATTGCCACAGCAGTCTGAGCACTGGTGTGCAGAGTGGTCCAGTCCAGAAGCAAGACTTAGTAGAAAGGACAGGGACTGTATCTCTTCAGAGATATGGTTGAAAAGGGGAGCAACCACATGAGGGCTTCAGAACCATTTCTAGGCACTGGAAAGTCAGAATTCATGACAGCACCATGCTCATCTGTCTCAGTGGGAGGAATGGGAGCATGTAGGAGCTACCATCTTTGTTTTAGTTTGCTTTGTATTATTCCTGAGCTCTGGTGGTCTTCTAGTTTGCACAGGCTGGTGATGGATGCCAGCAGTCCTATGTGGTGCTTGGGCAGAAAGCAAGTGCAACCTGCTTTGGTCAGGCTCCCCTGCTCACCCACCACGCAGGCAGGGCTGGATGGAAAAACAAATGGTGTGAAGAAGCTGGAGATGGTCCCTGTCCCCCTTCTCCCTGCCTTTTTTTGAGTAGTGGTCTGGATATACTCTTCCCTTTACAGCATTTTTCATCTTGATGGAAATGGAAGCTCAAGGAACTTTTCCCATCCTTTTTTTTTTTTTTTTTCTCTTTTTTTTTTTTTTTTTCAGCTCATAACTTATTTCTGGTTAATGACTTAGTTAATGAGTTCAAGAAATGATCTGACTGTAGCTCTTCAGCCCATCTTTCAAAGCTGCAACAGTTTTCATGTGTATATTATTTGATAACTGTTATCTTTACGTATTTTCTCAATAACCTTTGCTACATGCTGAGCTTTTCTTGAAGGGGGTCTTGTACATCTCTGTTATTTGTCATTCCCTGTATCACAGTGACTCACTGATAGTCAGGAATAGATTGTTTCCAAAAGAAACAAGCTTGCTAGAGCACTGGGAAGGCATATGTTCTCTAGCAGACAGAGACAAGTATTCACTAGAAGTATGACTTATAAAAAACATTAAATTTGTCAATGTCCACTGACAAAAATAGCGTGATAATAAATACCAGCCAAAATAAATGTCTTTAGTTCTCTGCAATAACATGGGCAGATCAAATCTCTCATACTTTCCTTCTCTCATTGAGTCTGACATACAGACATTTTTGACTCTTTCTTAAAAGCCGGCTCAAGAGAGCCTTATCAGACCACGAGAGAACCCTCTCCTGAGAAGACCTTTTCCTAGAGCCCTGGCAATGAATGACAGATGTGCAAACACTGCATCTTAGCACTGACCTCGGCAGCTGCCTCAGGAAACAGGAGTGCCCTTTCCAAGACACCCATGCCTGGAAGCGTGCCCAGAGACTGATGAAGCAAATGAGAAGGTCTAATCCCTTTGGCAGAAGCATAGTTCGGATTTGAGAAGAGCTGATGAAACCTCCCTTTGAAGTACCTAAAATGTTGTCAGGAGTTGTCCTGAGTACATAAGGTTGCAGCAACCTAAAGCACAGGAAAAACAGCACTCCGTATGCATGCCTGATTTCTGGTGAGGAAAGGATGGACATTTCAAACACAAAACTTGGGCCTCTTTCCCATTCCATCTACTAAAATTGAATCTTCTTGAGTTGTTTTTGCCCTAAGCATAACTTTCTACGGGTATGAGATTTTGTTGAGCTCTTGGGTGCTTGTATTGATTTAGGACCCCAGAGAACTGGGAGAGAGTGCCAATGAAGTAGAGTGGCAGAAACCTCCTCAGCACTTGCATTACCTTAGCATCAACAATATCCTACTCATCTTCTCATACTTTTGCCTGATAATAAGACATGGTAAAAAGATTCTTCAGCGTTTTGACACAGAAAAGCATTCACATATAATTGAATATAAATGGGATTGAGGTTTCTGGTTTCCATTGGTTCACATAGCTATACGCTGCCAAGAAACGCCTTCACTAGTTAATGTTATTGCTTAGTCCATCTCTGTCCTGGAGAGGGAATTTAAAGAGTAGCTCCTCTGATGGCCACAGGATCTGCTCACTGCTGTTTCATGTCCTATCATTCTTGGAAGAATGGCTGCTACATATCTTGTCCTTTGCTCCCATAAGCTGTGCCTTATTATCAAAGCATCAGTTCTGGGAAAAAGGATGGAATACTTTCAAGTATGAAAGCCTGGAAAACTGGACAGAGAGCAAGAGCTTTGATTTAAGAGAAGAGAAGATTGTAGTTTTACAAATGTTTCTGGTGCAAAAAGAAAACAAGATTTTTCAAAATGTGTGAAGAAAAGCAAAAAAATAACCCGAGAATCACAGAATCACAGAATCACAGAATCTCTAGGTTGGAAGAGACCTCTAGATCATCGAGTCCAACCTCTAACCTAACACTAACAGTCGCCACTAAACCATATCCCTAAGCCATAGGGATAGTCACTTAAACATAATCCCTAAGGTGGTGACTCCACCACCTCCCTGGGCAGCCCGTTCCAGTGCCTAACAACCCTTTCAGTAAAGAAATTCTTCCTAACATCTAACCTAAAACTCCCCTGGCGCAACTTTAGCCCATTCCCCCTCATCCTGTCACCAGGCACGTGGGAGAACAGACCAACCCCCACCTCACTACAGCCTCCTTTAAGGTATCTGTAGAGTGCGATAAGGTCGCCCCTGAGCCTCCTCTTCTCCAGGCTGAACAAGCCCAGCTCCTTCAGCCGCTCCTCATAGGACATGTTCTCCAGGCCCCTCACCAGCTTCGTCGCCCTTCTTTGGACCCGCTCAAGCACCTCGATGTCCTTCTTGTAGCGAGGGGCCCAAAACTGAACACAGTACTCAAGGTGCGGCCTCACTAGAGCCGAGTACAGGGGGACAATCACCTCCCTAGCCCTGCTGGCCACAGTGTTTCTGATACAAGCCAGGATGCCGTTGGCCTTCTTGGCCACCTGAGCACACTGCTGGCTCATATTCAGCCGACTGTCCACCATCACTCCCAGGTCCTTCTCCACCTGGCAGCTCTCCAACCACTCATCTCCCAGCCTGTAGCTCTGCTTGGGGTTATTGCGCCCCAGGTGCAGGACCCGGCACTTGGCCTTGTTGAACTTCATGCAGTTGACCTCAGCCCATCGGTGCAGCCTATCCAGATCCTCCTGCAGAGCCTTCCTACCCTCGAGCAGATCGACACACGCACCTAACTTGGTGTCATCTGCAAACTTACTGAGGGTGCACTCAATGCCCTCGTCCAGATCATTGATGAAGATGTTGAAGAGGACCGGCCCCAGCACCGAGCCCTGGGGGACACCACTAGAGACTGGCCTCCAACTGGACTTGACTCCATTTACCACAACTCTTTGGGCCCGGCTATCCAGCCAGTTTCTAACCCAACAAAGCGTAAAGTGAAAGTGAACCTTTATCCTTCAAATCAGACAACGGACTCTAGCCCAGGCCTGAAGACTGGATATTGGGTCTTTATGGTAATTCTGCAACCATATGATATGTTTCACCTGAGAAAGCTTTCTGCCGCAGGGGTAGCAGCACACAAGAGGTGGCCAGAAAGAGTTATTTTGATAAATTAGGATCTTCTGATGAAAAATCTATTTAAGCATAAAGCTTTCAACGTGCTCTGGTTCACAGACAGTAAGATAATGGTTTTCTGCAGACTGAAAAGTGGTCTGTCCAACCTATGCATAGATGCGCTTCTTCATAAGCATGTTCATCCCTGTCAGGGGACAGCATGGGGATAGCAGCTTTTTCCACAAAAATGGTGCTCACGGCCTAACCAAAGATGTGTTTGCATACAACAAAACATGATGTGGGACCAGCAAGACACACAGTTCCATCCTTGTTGTGAGACACTCTACAGAACTGCTATGAGTGAGAGTGGTGCAACTTCCTGTCGTTTTCCTCTCTGCTTGGAGAAGGAAGAAAAGTGAAAAGAAGGGAGCTGTGGCAATATCTGTTCAGCAAAGTTGATTTTGGGGCCAGCTCAGCATGGCAGGAAAGGCTGTAGACATCAGCACTCTCATAAATTCTGAGAATTCAAGAAAAAAGAAAACACAAAAACATTTCTGCAAGATGGACTGGCAATGCTAGAGAAGGAAGCATTTGTCTCATTGTTCAGCCCGCATTACCTTCACCTCTCCAAATTCCAGTCTCTCTTACTATTTTGCTAAAAAATGCGTCAAAGAAGAACAGGAAGGTCAGTGACAAACCATAAAATTTGTTTTGAGTGTAACCTAAAAAAAAAAAAAAGTGAGCAGATATATGGCACAATGACATTTATCTCAGAAAAGAGAATGTGAGGGGTAATAAAATCTAGACCCAACTATGTATACAGCCAGCTGAGAAAAGGATGGATCAAAGAAAATTTAGGAAGGAACAACTATTTCTATTTCTGCGTTTGACAAAACCACTCCTATTTTAAATCTGATTTATGGCCAGCTGGATAGTGTTAAAAATAACGTGAAAAAATTTATTACAAGATGGGCAAATAAATCTTGGTGTGGGAGTTACAATTTCATTTCAAACTCTGAGCTCCCATTGCAGTTTGCCACTGGAAAAGAAAACAAAATCTCTTCACTCCAGTATGCAAATTCCATGCAAACCACTGGGCGAGTGAACGCCGTGACATTTCCATGAATTCCTGGATCACAACAGCCTTTGAAATCAAGGGCTTAGGAACCACAATCCACCCCTTTGTACATGACACGTGGGCCTTTTGAACCAAGTTATGCGTGCACTCATTTCCTCCTTGAATCATACATGTAATTCAGTAACTTGCAGAAAACAAAACCAGAGGGAGCAGTTACACCTGCCTGCACGCTACCTACCTGTCTGCCATGTAGCCGATGACCATGGAGCCAATAAAAAATCCAGCATTTACACATGACTGAAAGAGGTCAAGCTTCCAGGAGTCCTCGCACACCAGGTTAAACTGCAAGGGCAAGAGCAGTTAGAAGAACGGGAATATTCAACAAAAACCATGGCTTGTCAAGGATGGGTAATGGAAAGAAACCAATGGGAAAAAAATGAAAAGAAAACAACAACAACAACAAAAAAAAATGAAAAAGAAACTATCTAATCTCTTATAAATAACATCTGCAAGGCTTGTGGAGATTATCCCAGACTTGCAGAAAAGTTACACCCTGGAAAATGATTATGCAATGACACATAAAGGGAGTGAGAAAGGCAGAGACTCTTTGAAAGAACAAATGAAAAATCTCAGAAAAATCCCACCCTCTCCTCCCCCACATCTGCTTGAAATCTGGAGGACACTTGCATCACCATTTCCTTCATGGATGTCAAAGCCTGCTCCTAATCGTGCATCATCGCACTGTGTGGAAGCGGTGCAGGGCATGAGAGGTGGTGGGGCTGCTGCCGGACCAGTGGAGGTCTGTGTATACAGGGACTAAAGGCTCCATCTGTGGCTCTGCTCTGCCCTTGGGTGACACTGCTCGTGGGTGAGGAGATGTTTTCTCAGCCCTGGCCAAAATGAGTGAGTTGCAGCAGCTGGGAGAAGCCAGACAGTTGGCCAGATGTGATTTTCATAAAGGTCAAAGAGGAGTCCTTAGTAAATCCCTGAGCTCCTTTTTGGAACCTTCATCAAGGCTTGTGTGTGACAGGGGAAGAGGCCCCAGCATAGCTGAGATCTGCCAGCTGGAGTCTTTCTTTTGTGGCTTTGCAGCACCTTGAAGCACACTGCCATGAGCCCTGCCGGGGCGAGCCAAGAATATGTCTGTCCCACTCCTCACTAGCACCAGCAAAAAGCCCAGGCTTTGACTGACTCTCACCGCACTGAAAGGGAGCTCTGTAACCTCCTTCTGATTTACAACTGGCAGGCTGCCAACCCGCACCCAAGGGAGAGGGGAAGGCACACTGAGGTTAACTTCTCTACAGCAGTGGTTTCTTTTGGGAGACAGGAATCGTACTGCTTTTTTTTTTTTTTTTTTTTTTTTTTTTTTTTTTTTTTAACCTCAAGGATTCCTCCAAAGAGGAGGAACTCAGACATTGCAGCCTCCAGGACAATCACCTGCTTTTAAAACAAGGTTCTGCGTGTAGGATGCTCTGGAGAAGCAAAGTTCACAGCTCTGCTGTGCACCTCTTAACCTGCAGAAGCAATCTGCACCGTTTGGTGGGATAAAAGTAAAACTTTATTTTTACGATTTATGGAAATACTAAATCACGTGTAACCAGAATTCAGCTTGGAAACCTTATTTCACCTCCTGTTTCTAACCTGAGTGAGTTTAAGGTAGGCAGACAAGAGTGATCACATCAGATGAGCAGTGCTTTACCTCAGTGACAAGCGAGGTCCCCGGGTAGTCGTAGAGCCACCCATCCCGGCAGGGGCTGAGGGGGATGGAGCTCCAGTTGCCCTGCGAGGCTGCCCAGGGGGTCGGTGCAGCTGAGGCCGGTCGCGTTCCAGTCCACGTCGTACCTCCTGCAGCGGCTGCCGAAAGCAGTCCCGTGGCCGCCCCACTCGGGCACGGTGTGGTTCAGCTGCTCCTCCAGGCTCCAGCCGCAGCTCTGGCTCAGCTCCGCCACGCCGGGGCTGAAGCAGCGGTGCTCGGGGGTGAACCCGAAGAAGACGACACCCACGTAGATGGGAGTGAAGGCGGCGGAGAGCAAACACAGGACGAAAAAGGTTTGTTTTTGAAACCTGCCAAATTCGCCGATCTCCTCTAAAATGTCATCCAGGGTTGGCATCTTTCTCTGCTGTGGCTCATTAAAATACCTAACTGTGGCTTTTCCCGGCTTTTGCCTTTGCTGTGAGCTTAAATCACTGCTGAAGTGTTTGTTCAAAACCCACAAACCAATAATTAAAGAACATGGTCAATCGTCAAGCCATGCATTGCAACCTTTGTCTCTCAAATGCCCCTTCTAAACAAACTTTGGTTCTCATGTTTTGGCCTTCTTTTGTTGCTTTATTTTGTATGTGGCAGGCTTGAAATACAAGAGTTGGTGTCCTACATTATGGCCATTTCAAGTCATTGACAGTCTGTCAGTGCACAGTATGGGGCAGGCAATGATTCCTTTGTCCAGTGTTTTCCATTTAACAGAGATCATAAATATTTCTAAAGCAATGTCATTCTCTCCTCTGTATATGAGCAACTGAAAGACCTGAGCATGCGCTTAAGGAATGGAGGCATCTTTGGTCTGTTTTGCTGTGTGGGATGATTTCTATTGTGTTCCCATAACTGCGGCTATATAAGGTCCTTTCATGTTGTTCCCCATTTGCTTCCCCTGTAAAAATTAGCTTTTGTCAAGTAATGTAAGAAGTGATGGGGAACTGGAAAAGATTCAGTGCATCGGAGGTGTGGATTTGAACAAAAACATCTGTGGGCAAAGGCTTTGGCTTTTTAAAGAATATTTCTTCCTGTAAATGTTCTGAAGACAGTTTTTATTGTCGCTCTTTTCCAGCCAAAATGAAATGACTTTGCAGCTTGCTCAGTGCTTCTGAAGGGAATCCCTGGGCAGGTGGGTATCACAGAGTTAATGCCTCTCCCAGGGACACTCAGTGACCTCCCTGAGATTTACAAGACACAAAACTAAACGAACTTTGGAGGAAAACAGAGGTGATAAGTAATGTGATATTTTAAAGGACTATTAATAACAAGCCCTGCTGAATTGCTATGACAGTCATAGCTAGGAACTGTCGTGAATCATGAAAGGGACTGCTGCTTTGCAATAAACATCTTTTACCGTTAAGAAAGGAGCAGACCTTTGACCGTTTACAACGAAACTGTTCAGCTATCTCTGTTCAAGTCTGTTTCACATCAGAAGCAGGGAACAGGCTATTCCCTTTGTGAATGCTCCAGGTCAGTGACAGGACCTCACTGCACAAGCATCCTTCAGACCTTACTCCCACCTGCACACACACGACTCAGCAGTGCATGTATCTGGCGTGTTCATTCTTAGCTAAAATTTGGGTCAGCCAAAGCTTAATTAATTGCAGCAAGAAGTGCATAAAGCATCCTGGATATGCACTTTACTCCCTTTCCCGATTCTGTCCTGTGTAGTTTCACAGTGGAGGATACAAGACTGATACAATTACAGGGTCCAATGCCAGTTTTGCTGCCAGAAGGTTTTGTCTCCACTTTTAAGGTACATTGATGTTCCTTCTCTGGGAAAATGTCTTAGGCATTATCTTGTATTGCCAGTAAGCTACTGAGTAGCTGCAGATATTTCATGGGATCCAGAAGATTTTGTTATCGATGTCTGAGCTGACCTTGAATGTCATAGCAAGACTCTCTCCTGTGTACAGTGACACCAGTCTTAGGGGAACTGAGTAGTTTTCCCTAACAAACATTGCGTTAACCCTTCCTCATGTGCTGGTTCCTCAGTGACCACTTTGGAAAGTAGTTTCTGTGAAGAAAGGCCATTTGGTTCAGCTTTGCTCCCTGGCCAAGGGCACAGCTCAGTCTGGATGGTTCCATCCTCCTAGACTTGTCTATCTGCAGGGGATTCACCCAGCAGCTCAGCGGGGCTCAGTGTGCCCGTCAGTGTCTGTGCTGGTATGACAAGGGCTGAGGGGATGGAGCGGGCATGCCCTGGCTACGGCACTTTCCCTCAGTACACCCTCAGTGGTTCATCCTGCCAACACAATGGCATGTCACTCTCGTCACCTGAGAATACTCGAGTCTGTCTGTCTGGTCACTTTAAGGTGTTTTGCAGACAGATTTTTCCAGTTTTGAGGGGATTGGAGCAGGGAGCAAGCATGCATGCAGTTCTGCTGCTGGATACGAGTGCATGCAAACAGAGGCAGCATGATAGCTTGTCAGGGTGACATCTCTATTCCAAGAACCTAAACAGGACTGTATATGGGCTCTATTGATGCACAATGTGTAACATCAGCGAGAGGAGCAAGGTGAACAAAGCCCAAGCTGCTCTGCTAGCAAAGGCTGGCTGAGCCTCCAGCAGAAGAACCATGTTGCCCTGCAGCGGCAGGTCCATGAAACGAACCATCAGCTGTGACAGCTTTACTGTGTATAATCAGTAATCTCTTCAGTTTAGGCAGTGAAACATTACCATGCCTGCTTTACAATCAGCCTTCCAAAAGATGTGTTAAGTGTTCCTGTACTCTGACCTTCCTGAGCTTTAGAAGTATGCTCACAGGGCTGGGTGAAATGGAAATGAAGCAATGGCTAAAATTATGTTCTAAAACAATATGGATACAAATGCAAGGCAGGTCTAATTTATCCGTAATAACAATGCATACTGATAATTACAGCATATACATGTATAAATAACACTTTGCTACCAAACAACAGTCCTGACTTTCAAAGATCTGAAAGCATCTTCTTACTCCTGAAGACCAAGAAACTAAGGCAGAGAGATATAACAGGCTAGCGCTTCTGAGAGCTTAGTTTTCAGGTCTTCAAGGCTAAAATGATTTACTAGAGGTGAGCTGGACATTTCCGCTGAGGTGTCTCCTGAGGTGTTCTAAAAGTCTTGCATGAGTAATCATTGCTGCACTGAATTCCTTCTCGTGAGTCACTCTGTCATCCACATCACGTAGTAATGATTTTGGTGAGGCATTTTGCTGTATGTGTAGGCCTTATCACAACTCTCTTTCCTGTGAGTATACCAAGGATGTAAGCATTTAACAGTGAGCTATAGGCATGGTACCAGTTGCGTGTCACAATCACACACTGCCATAGACCTAAGGAGGGAATACCACATTCATAGGAAAGGCCTTGGAGAGTCGCTGCAAGCCTCCAAACAAACGGTGAGCTGTACTCCTGCTGGGGTTCACAGCCTGAGCACTAGGGTGCGGGTACATGAGGCAGGGAGAGCCAGTCCGAGCTGTTGGTGTGTAGGTCCCCAACACTCCCCATCCCTTTTCCATGCCCAGTTCTGGCACTTGTGGTTGGTCCCTGTGCTCTATGAGTGGAGCCAACTCGTGAACTAGGCAAAGGCTGATCCTTGCTGTCCTTGCAGTTTTGCCCTGCAGGGCTCAGCAAAGGGCTGAGAAGGGGCAGAGTCAGTGCAAGGGAAGGGACCACACGGCTGGGAGCTGCCTGGAGAGGGAGGCTGGGATCAGGAGGAGAGAAGCAGAATGTCCTCCTTGTGGTGAAATAGCTTCAGCTTTCAGCAGGGCTTCACCTCAGCTAACTTCAGCCATGCAAATGCTGGGCATCTGGTCTGAGCTAGATGTCCATGCCTGTTGCCCAGGACGCTCCAGGTATCTCCAGACATCTATATCCAGGTGTCTAACAGGAGGCTCAGTGGTGGCTGACAGCAGAGGTCAGCACCCAGAGCTATCAGTAGCAGCTGGAGCACCAAGCAGCGTGTATTTAATCCAGATGAGGTGTTGACACATGCAGGCATGTCTGGCAAATTAACCAGGGCATGAAGCACTGACCTCACCAGTGGGGCTGCGCTGTTACACTGACTGTGGGCATCCAGGCAACACCTGCCCTGGCCGGACTCCTGCTGGGAGAAAGGTGCGTGTCAAAAATGGTTTAGCAAGTTTGGGCTGCCCAGGAGTCTGTAGTCCACCGGTTCCTGGCATGATGGGATCTCGATTTTTCAGACCCAGCAGTGGGAGCTACGTATCTAAAAGCTAGGAGCTGGCTATAGAGGGAGCCTACACACTTTGTTTTAGGCTGCTTAAGTTATTAGAAGCAGCACGTGTTTGCACATGATATTTATTTACACCATGAGAATATATTTTATAACTTGGAGAAACAAAGTGTACCTTAATAGTTGGCTCACGCACTAACAACATATTTTTCTTAGATGATAATCACACTATATCTGGCAAACTCCTCTAGCTTTTCACTATTTGCCTTTAGATCCAAAAGTCACAGCTTGAGCTCATTTCCTCATTGAACACTAATTACCACCTAGTATTGTGCAACATGGGAGTAGCTCTGCCAGTGACAAAGACAACTCAGCACCCAGTACTCACTCTTTGTCATCTGCTGCAGCATGGAGCATGACGTGTTGCTGGAGTTTGCTCTCTGCACGTAGCACTTCTGCACTTGTGCATGGGCATGGCTTTTGCCAGGGCTGGGAACGCTCCTGAGCTACTCTGCCACCAGCACTAGGGTGCATGGGCCACCTGTGTTTGGGTGGAGGGATGCTTGTGCTGCCCAGGGAGAGGGAAGCAGCCCTAGGGCATTGTGAACCCATGCCATGGGGTCCTATTGCTTTGCCCTGACTCACCAAGGAGATGGCAAGGTCATCCTGCAATGCACCTGGGGTGTGTGCAGCCACTCTTATCAAGAGGGGCAGTGATAACAGGTTACTGAGGGGAGCAAAGGAGCCCAGACAGCGTTGCAACTACTGGTACAGAGTCTGGAGGGAGTGCTTGGCACTGGAGGAAAAATATACGTTTTTTCTTTAGATGGTATGATTGTTTTTTTTTGTCACAACTACCTGCCTATCTAGTCACACAATTTCTGCACATGCCTGGAGCATGGGCTCTCTGCAGTTATCCTCATGTTTCAACCCATCCTGTCATCCACAGGACACAGGTCCTGGAGCTTCAGCCTCACGGTGAGCATCCATTTATGGCTGGAAATTACAATCCTCTTCCTCAAAGGGGATTGCAGTCTAAGTCTCAGTTCTATTTCCCTTGTGTATGAGAACTGCTGGCACCTGCTCTAAAGGGAGCAGGACTTGGCATGAGACGAGCAGTGCAAACACTACAGGACGTGTTACAAAGATAGATCCTACACAAGAAACTTGATAAACAAGTGAGGATGGAGTGAACCTGGGGAGACTGCAACGTAACATACGTTTTTGCTGTCAGAGGCAATGTGCTGGGTAATTGCACCCTTTGGT